TCTAGTCACTGTGTAACTCACTCCTGTGTTTAATCGTGCAGAATTTAAGTTAGATTTGATCAAAAAGTTTGATAAAACAGTTATCCAGTGGTGTTTAGCTTTAATCGATCTGTCATCTTATTTTAATCAGTGAATAAACTATTATTTAACTTAGTGAAATCTCAGGTCATCTTACTTCAGTCTATTTTTATCAATGGAAGCTGGTCGTCAAATTCTGCAAAATTTATTGTATTGAATGGATAAACTAGTGAAACTAAGTTCTTTTTTATTAGTTGCAACGATGAATTATTCAAAAGTTGACTAATATTCTCTTTTATCAACTGTATTTTATTGTAATCAAAAGTGTTCGTTCTAGTTTTGACAAACATTTGGACATATTCTAGTTACACTGATATATTTAAATCCCAACTGACTGAAGACATGAAATCTACTGTCCAACCAGTTGAGTTATCTAAAGAATACCAAAAGGTTTGCAACTTATACTGATCAATTTTTCCTTTAATTGTATCTTATTACAATCGATAAATGTATTGATTTTGTCTGTTAAGGTTTCCGGAAAATATTTATAAGTCAAAATTTGTTTCATTTAGTCACTTTCTAACACTCCAACCCATGGTTTTAAAAATAATTTAGAAGCTTAACTTAATTGTTCTCAATCCTTACCAAACTGAATGTCTAGAAGTCAGCTTGTTATGGTATCCTTTAATCTGTCTTGTAAAGTTCCTTTATAGTCATGAAAAAAGTGTTAGCAACCATGTTATTCAAATTGTCACAGTTGAGAAACAAACTCAAAAAAAATGTCCATTGCAGTAATTTATGTGAGAAGTTTAAGTTCCACCTACTAATAATTAAAACGAAGAAAAGATCCTATCAATTATGATATAGTGAGAAATGTATGGGTATTACTTGATGCAGTTGGTGCGATAGTGAGTCTTCAGTCGATACTGTTAACACAAATATTATGGACGCCAGACGAGCTACTTCTACGTATGCATTTTTGTAGTAAAACTGAGCGTGGCAAACTGCAAAGTGGTATCTGTCCATGAAACTGTTTAATTGGACCGTGTTGGTTCAGACTATCTGCCCGATTTTTGTAGCTAAAGGTTAGAAACGAATAACGTGACTCAGACTCGCTCTCAATGGCTCAGATACATTCACTCTTAATCTTCTCTTGGTAACTAAGTTTCTGAACCATCTTGTATTCCTTTTGAATTACAGTAATCTATATTTTCTCAAATCATATTATTAGTACTAATCTACCAGTAATACTGTAACTACCGATTTGATTGATATGCTTTTGACAGTCAGTCACATTGAGAAGAGGATTTCATGTATCCAGGCTTAAGTTTTTCTACAGCATTTGAAGATTTAAAAAGGATCCTTACAATTATCTCATTATAGCAGATCCTGATTGATATACATCTCTTTTGAGATATAATTACTTGAAATCTACGTTCTTGTCCATTACTTTTAAAGATTTATAGTTTTTATAGTGAAGAGTACTTCTTAACGATCAGTTGAAATAAAATGATTCAGGTTCAAATGAAATTTAATCTGTACAGATCTGAAATATGTTGTCGGATAACATTATTCTTATCAGTTGCTGATTTACATTCAGTCACTAGTAGATGTATATTTCTCTTCACTAAGAAGTAAAATAAGGACAATAGCAAATGTTCGTGAAGTATTTTACATGAAGAACATTGTTTGGTTAAGAGATTTTTAAGAAAAGACGTCGTGTGTAATGTAATAAGATATTTATTTGAAGTATCTCATAATATATCTGTTTATCATTGGTCTAATAGATGATTGAATGAGGTTGTATACAAAGTGTTAGTTTCTGTCACTTTTTAAGTGCATATCATTTTTAAGACTCATTATGCGTAGCAATTATGTCTGCATTATCTTACCAATCGAAATTTAAATATTCCCAAAGTTTCACCCAGCAAAGTGGTAGGAACTTATTCAGAGAAATTGCATTATTGCAAACCTAGCAATGATTTATCATCAGACATGGTTCTAATATTAAGTTTATTTCACTTTAAATATATATAAGGAACAAGTAATAAGTAAAAATGTTTCTTGCGATGTGTGTATGTTTTATAAACTCAACAAGTCATTAGTAATAATATAAATCGAAGTTGAATCTGAAAAGTTATCGAGTTTGAAATACATCAGTTGTTTAACCTCCCAATTATTATTTTTGATAAGGACATTCAACTAAATCATAACAACTTAGTAATTAAAATATCCCATAGTGTCATTGAAAAAGATAAAGAGAATTCAGCGAAGAAAATTTTCTTTTCGACGAAATCATTTACTTAAGCTGTATATTCGTATATAAAGTTATATGGAAAATGTATGTCTATAGGAGGATAGAAAAAATTGCATCACCAAAATGAATTCGAGGATAAATAACAAATGGGGTTACGTATCAATCAAGGGGTAAGAAAGGAAATCGTTTATGGGTCAGATAATAGTCCAATTGACAAATATAAAGAAGAGCGACAAACACAAATGTCATAATAATAAACTGGATAATAATCAAGAAAACTTGTATAAGGTAATAATAATAATAATAATAATAATAATAATAATAATAATAATAATAACTGACTAGGGTTTAAAGTGGAAAATAGTAATTTTAAAAATTCCATAATAATCAAATAAAAGTGCAGAAAAAAACAGAAACATACCCATTAGGGGAATTAGGGCCAAGGGAGGATGAGAGGTTAGACAAATCGTTTCTGCACGCAAAGTTCGAGCTTGAGTTCGTGAAGTGCCAATGCCAAAGTAAAGAGTGAATTAAGTTCCTCTTTCTACTCAATGGTACCCAACACTAAGTCCTGAGTTCTCCAATTCCTTTGACTTTGTCGAACCAATTAAAAATATCAACGTAATTGGTAAGAAAATGATCTCATTAGATGTCACTTCGCTTGTTACAAATGTTCCGCTCACAAAAACTATTTGTTTTTTATGTGACTATATTGAAAACAACAACCTTGATATATTTATAGCTAAACATCATCTAAAAGGATTACTTCTACGATGTACGCTCAATGTGTAATTTAGATTTAATGATGATTTCTATAGACAAACAGATGGAGTTACAATGGGTTCTCCATTTGGCCCTCTCTTGGCTGATTGCTTCATGATCAATCTGGAAAATTCTGTACTTCGTCCAATAATTGAGAGATTTCATTTTGATAAGAGATATATGGATGATACTTTCATCATTTGTGAAGAAGACATTGACCTAAATGAGATTTTGAAAAGTTTCAATAATTGTCACCCCTCAATTCAATTTACCTTAGAAGCAGAGGCAAATAATGAATTTCACTTTCTTGATGTCCGATTAAAAAGAATGCCCGATGGTTTTTTACAGAGATCTATATATAAAAAACCTACTTGTAATGGGCAGTACACTAATTTCCATAGTTGTGTCCCATTGAGTAGAAAGAGGAACTTAATTCATTCTTTATCCTCTGGGATCAAGCGAGTCTGTTCCACTAACACAATAGATGAGGAACTAATTTAACTTCGACAAACTCTCATCAGAAACGGTTATCCACCTAGATTGGTCGATAGTAACTTAACACCTAGAATTCATCATGTGAAAGTATCCACAGTACAAAAGAAAACCCTGTTCATGAATATGGAATTTAAGGGAGACACGGCTGCTGAAATCTTAAATAAACGGATTTCAAAATCACTGAATAAAACTTTCTACACAGCCAAGCTCCAAATTGTTTTCTCAAGTCGGCCTACCATTCCTGGATGTGTTAAAGATAAACTTTCAATTTGGGCCACACCAATGTGTATTTATAAATTTACGTGCTCATGTGAGGCTCGTTATATAGGCCGGACAAAGCGATCACTTTCCAAACGCATCTCAGAACACTATCCGGCTTGACATTAAAAAGGAAGAATGAATTTATAAAATCTCAGCGAAAAAATTTGAAGTAATTCCTTTTTAATGTCTCACATTAACTCAGCGCCCAAATATTGTGAAACTATTCGTTCAAATTGAGACAAAAGATCTTATTTACTATCCGGCTTGGCTTGTAAAAGGAGAATGTAAGACAATCACTAGTTCTATACAGGAGCATTTAATCAATTACAGACACACCGCTCCCAAGTACTCTTCTTTTAAAGTGATCTACAGAGTCATAGGAATTGGATCGAAGGGGTGCCGAATCAATATTCTATGCACTGCTGAGGCATTGGCACTACACGAACTCAAGCTCGAACTTTGCGTGCAGAAACGATTTGTCTAACCTCTCATCCTCCCTTGGCCCTAATTCCCCTAATGGGTATGTTTCTGTTTTTTTCTGCACTTTTATTTGATTATTATGGAATTTTTAAAATTACTATTTTCCACTTTAAACCCTAGTCAGTTATTATTATTATTATTATTATTATTATTATTATTACCTTATACAAGTTTTCTTGATTATTATCCAGTTTATTATTATGACATTTGTGTTTGTCGCTCTTCTTTATATTTGTCAATTGGACTATTATCTGACCCATAAACGATTTCCTTTCTTACCCCTTGATTGATACGTAACCCCATTTGTTATTTATCCTCGAATTCATTTTGGTGATGCAATTTTTTCTATCCTCCTATAGACATACATTTTCCATATAACTTTATATACGAATATACAGCTTAAGTAAATGATTTCGTCGAAAAGAAAATTTTCTTCGCTGAATTCTTTTTTTCTTATTCAACAATTTAGTAGTTGTATTCATGAGTCAATTGAAGCTAGACCACTATTGAAATTCGTGGAGCACTGGATGGCCGTTTCGTCCTGGCTTCAATTGACTCATGAATCCAATTACTAAATTACTATGATAACCACAAAACCCCTCTCTGATGATAAATCATAACAGCTTATGTTTTTTTTATCTCTGTTTGGTTTCACCCACAGATCCCGTAAATCAATGGAGTCCCTTTTACTTCTTAGCATCATACCAGTGAAAAACTATTCAACTTGCTGTCTAACAGTACTGAATTGTCAGTTACATAATTTAATATACAAAGAAGTGATGAAGAGTGATACATTATCCTGATAGTTTATAGTTATTCCATTATTAGTAAACCAATTAATTAACAATATTATCTTTAGATAAATTACAGTAATGTAATTAAATTTACAATTAATAGACGAATATTGCAATTAACTTGTAAGTATCTGATATACACAAATTTACAATCTATAAATTGATTTTTGTATGTCTCCAACAGAAGAAAATAGATATCACGTTCCGATTGAAAAGTTTATCACAAAAATATGAAATTTATTGGAGACGGATTGATATACTTTTGTATAGATCTTTCAAAAACTAAGGAAGATAACAAACCAAGACATTTTTATGACAAAATTGAAGATATTTTATGAATATTGTTTTCTTTTTTTAAAAATTAAACTTTCCGGCCAGTGTGTCATATGTTTGTTCATTAAATGATCAATCACTAACATCCTTTTTAGTTTCCGGTTGTCTTGACTCCTGCAACAATAAAAAAATAAGAGTAGAAAATGTGGTAGTTTGGAAAAAAATTTCAAGATCCTTAACAACGATTCATTGTGTAACTATCTGAGTTGATATTTAGCTTGAAATTCTTTGAAAAGTGTGCATATTTGATACAATATCAAATAGTGAAATGAGTGCTTCTTTCACAAATCGTTTACTGTAGATTACGAAAATATCAGGGAAATTCATACCACATGATATCTTAAGGTAAGTTAATGAGATTCCGCATCTTTAGAGCTATAAGCTGTCTTTTGAATGATTTCATTTTAGAATAAATGAATGATAAAAGATCAGTTTCGAACCTGTTTCCTTGTTAGTTGTTTAGATGGTTGTTGGCAAGAATCACTAAACGAGATAAATCTATCTAAATAATCGTCTAAAATGTTGGTTTAGAGGAAACTGATGTTTGTTTGAGTAGCTTAAATACCAAATATTGAACACTAACTACATGTTTTTACAAAAAACTCATTTCCTTCTTTTCTATCATCATCTATCCCTATTTTTGCATAACAATGAAGGTTCACTTACTCGACATCTAATAAATGGAATTTAGAAACAAAGAAACATTTATGTAAATAAACTACGAGTAAAAAGTACTAACAAACAAATTTATTAGTGAATGAAATAAACATTTAAAAGTCTAGTCTTGCAGAAAGATTGATAAAGTTATGATACATTTACACTGAACAGAATACGCTGACTTATAAATAAGGACGGAAATTTTACCTTCTGATGCTCCAGACCATATAGAACATTTTTATTGAATCTGGATATGATATAGTTTTTAGTTTAGTGAATCTGTGAGCTGCAGTCTGAGAATAAACAGATTGATATTGATTCAGTGGGGCCTCTTCATAAACCTACCCACTTTCGCTCTGATGATTTGAGTCCATGCTATACTGACATCAGTCGATTTTATCCTAAATGACACATTTGTCACTGCTCATGATCTAACTAGCAACCCTGGAGCTTAAGGATGCGAAACGTATAATAATGGTTTGTTCGTATGAAAAGACAGTGAAGCTGAATAACATTGAGATTAGGTATTTGGTTCAAATAAATCTATCCATTTGCTTGATTTAATGTAAGCGGCGTAGAACTGAAAATATTGGTTCTTTCGTGGAGTTAGGAATTATAGAATGCAGAGTTGGTTATTACATCCACAGTTGTTTAAGGTAGCGCTGATATTCAGATATACACCTACCAAAAATAAAGCATCCGCCTAAAGTGTTGTTCAAAGCTATATCAATGTTGAAATTTAATCAAAATACGGAAATAATCCCAAATGAACCACATATAATGAAAAATGTTTTTCTTGTGGCACAAAGTAGCGTGATATGTATAATTTTGTTACATTACAACAAATGGTATCAATAGTAAGGTTGGACTTGATAGTTTCAAATAAATTGAGCACTGGGTAGAGAGTTAATAATAAATAACTGATAATTTTTCTGTCGGTTATTCATTTACTATGAAGAAGTGGTTTACATTGAGCCACGAAACGTCAGAAACACAATTTTCCTACTCATCGGGATACAACAAAAACATCTCTATTATAATGACAAGTGGTTCAATTTTATTTATTATTCAGTGCCTAGGCTTGGTCAGTAATCTGATAATGGTTAGTTGTGATCAGTGAAAGAATTACCAAAAGAGAGTATTGGTTCACCCAGTTCATACTGAAAGTACGTTGAAGTGTTAGTTAGTGAATCTGATATTTGGTTAGATCTTACGATGAGTAATGACCCCATAATGTTCACTAAATTCAAAGCTAAATGCTCAAACAGCAAATTAGGAGAAAGCTGCAGGTTCTGAAGACAACTAGATGTTAAGGAAAATAATGTTGAAGTAGTAAACACTTATTTCTTCAACCAGAATGTACACCAGTATTTCCTTTATAACGATAATGAATGATAGTAAATAGAAATATACTTTCGATCATAGGTGAATTTACCAAACTAATATCCAGAAGGGCTTGCTTTGCCAGGAATCGTTCTCGTTGAATACGTTCTTTCAAACTACTTGGAACATCTGGAATGAAGAAATCTAGAGCGTTCGCCAAAACAAATGCCACGTGCTATAAAATTAAATACGTCGTCGTTAATGAAACCAATTATCTACTAAGATCAAAGTAAATTAAGTGAAATGTCTGTAATCGAAATAATTACTGTTGGAGAATATTATTTAGTTCCCTTGTTGCACCAAATTAAAACAACCGACAGAATCGAGACAGCAATTGTGTTTGAGATGCATTCAAAGAATCTGAGAAGACAAAAGTCCCAATTATGTTTCATTTAACTGGACAATTTTGTAACAGAATCATTCGGGTGAAGAATATTCACTCACTGTGAACAAAACTAAATGTTAAACAAATGTGGGGATTTTCGACTAGTTTATTCATTGAACAAAACGTACTGTAATTGAGGTAGAACTTTCCCATTTAATCTGGTTGTTACGTTCTTACATAGTTGAGCGATTGCTCAGTTCTTTTTTAATCGTGCAACCAAAATAATTCAACATTAAAAGAAATAGTGCTGTGTTTTTTTAATAAAAAACCTCTTAATATTCTCGGGAAGAAAATTTGGAATTGCACAAAACCAACCATACTTATATCATATCTGGATCACAGCAACTATCCTACAACCAATTTCGATTATGGTTAATTTTGGTTAAGGCCTTTTATTAACTTATTTAACAGACAATGTTATTTGAACAGTAACAATTCACATATTTCTTTGTTCTGTTAGGATCACTAGATCATCACATGACAGACACTTGCTAGAATGTTGATCGCTTAAATATCACTCGATGATTCATCCTGCTCCCCATGTATATATGTGCTCAAATCCTATTGTTGAACTTTGCCTTGACTTGCTGTGCCCTAATATGATCTGACTGTAAATTAATTTGCCTATGAATTGGCTCGTACATGCATATTGGCCTCCATGCTTCGAATTCGCTGAATGTGCTTATAGCAATGTGATCTTGTTCCCTGTCGGCTGAAAAAACTGTAGTTGCCGCTTGTTATTGCCTTCTGATTTGAAACGCCGTTGAAATTTATGTAATAACGGTTTCAAGGGTGATTGAGTAACGAAGCAAATCTACTACATGGTTAGCAATAGGGAATATGATGACTCCGATGAGGTCACTGTGTTTATCTATGTTGTAAGTAGCTGTTATTGTTTTATGCAAAGTGTCTTGTAACAAGTACTGTAACCAGAAATTACAAACACTACATACGGTTCATTAGTGCACATGAATAAGAATATGAAAACTGGAAATTGTGTTATGTCACGTTAGCAAATTCGCCCTTCCTATTATACCCATCTATCAAATGAACAGACTAATTTAGCAAACTGCTTAACAAAAATCCATTGATCATGCTGCAATATTCTATTAAAAATTTGATGCTTATGTGAAATAGACTATGGGTTTCTAAGGCAATATTTTAGTAGTTCATATACACATGTTGATAAAGTTACCTCGAAAACGATTACGAACGCTAGACGGAGAGCCAAAAGTCTCCAGAAAAACATCGAGTATTCACCATTATTATCCCGAAAAGCTTTATACCTGTAAAGTATAGTAAACCAACTTATGCAATTAGTGGATGCCTTTACATTAATTGTTTAATCCATCAAACCAAATGGTGCTTTTACAGTAAATTTGTGATTTTTAAAAGGGAAGTTGAATTGTACATATAAAATCACTGTATATTATGATTTAATATTTCGAGTGGAATTCCCGGAAGGAATTTATATGACAGTTGTACTGATTTCCACCTATGAGAATACCACTTAACTGATTTATTACATTGGAAAATATCATTTATTTTGAATATCGTTGACCTATGTATACACTAGTTTAGATGTGACTGTTCTTCATATATAGTGTATCAATCTATGAAAACATGATTTCTGAGAACTCCGTTAAGTAGTTCCATAATTGACCCGAAAGAATTTTTTGTGAGCAGAAACTGTTAGCTTTAGAGAATCTTAACTAGAAGGTATTAGTTGTTGATCAACGAGTGTAGTAATTTAAACTGAAAAATCTTATGCGAATTCAAAGAACATAGTGAAGAAACGAGTTATGGATTCGAATTTCCATTATGTTTTCTTTAAAGTACTATTAAACTAAATTAGATTAAGTATGAACATTAATACTAACCCCTATATTGTTCTTTCCGTTTTATCATCCCTATTGAGACTACAAATATCAAATTTGCTCTAGCAGTTTTTCCAGTGAGATTTTTTTATAGAATAAACCTTGCCTGAGGTAGGATGTCAAAATGATCTTAAACAGTGTTTTGTGTTTCAAATATAATAAATACTTTACCTTTTTCCATTTTCCAAGCCTCATCATGATAATATACCCAACACTTTCTATGAGACGCATGTCTTCATTATTTTGACAGTTTCTTCCGTCACTTACATTAAATCTCTCTAAAGTTTGAAGAGACAAACTACTGTTTCTTTATTCAATGTTATTCTACCGTCTTTGTTTCCTTGTTGTTTCGTAGACTAGAATTGATGTATATATACTTGCTTTCATGCAAACTAAGTTTTTTTTTCAATGCTCATTTTCTCTGCAAAGCTTTTTTCTATCATTGTAAAATATCTAAACTCATGGTTTTTAATTCCTCAAGTCAATTATATATTTCAACTTTCAGTGTTTATCATCGCGATCGTTACTATTACAAAGCAGATATATAAATACCGATGTTAAAGACCCCTAATATCAGCTGTTCATTTAACTTTAGACGTATATCTATCTAATATATCTAAAAAGTTTGTATATTTCTCTTTATAGACCGATGATATACCATAATCTAAGAGGAAACTGTAACACCGATGGTCTAATTTAGTTCATTTTATTTCGCTATAAATATAATCATATGAACAACTAACTAAGTATTTCGTAAATATCATCAATCAAAAAAAGAAACGTTTATATGTGAACACTTATTTAGAAAAGGCTCAAAAATACAGGATCCACTATGAAGACTGTATACATGGACAGGTTATTACAAATGTTAACTGTTTACTGACAAGATATTTTTGTTACTAAACTAATTATTTGATTGAGGTGTAGTAGTAGAAATAAAATAGTATTTTCACAGTCTAATTCGCAACTTGAGATTGACTCGTGAATTCAATAGTTGGACTACTACAATCTCCACTAATCTTTATACGGAAAATAATATTTGCTTTAAAAATACAGCTTGACAAGTTTTACATAGTGATATCTATAATGTTATTATATTTACAAATACATGTTATGAAATATAAAATAATAAAGTCTACGTCATCATTGATCTTGTTAGCATGGTTTTTTGATTATTATATAATAAATGTGATAAATACACAAAAGTTATGTTGTTTGAGAAAAATTGGTTAATAGTCAATTATTTTGGACGTGATTTATTTAAGATTATTTATATGATGAACTTTAACATGAATGAATTTTACAATCGAAGAGTAGATTTCGTGTATACTTTGATTGTAGTCGTTTAACCTTTCCTCAAGGTGTTGAAATATGATTTTCAGTTTTAACAACGTTTCACTTAGACAAATGAGAAAATATCATTGTTCAACTGAATAGTGATAAAATTATTTTGAATTTCTTTCAGCATTAGGTAAAAATAACAGAATGACATAAGTTTCATTAAATTTTTTTATTGAAAATTTACTGTCATTCAGCTGAAGTAACTTATTGACCAATCAATCTATTTATTAATCGGTAATATTATATATCATGATGAAGCTGCTGAGTTTGACTGTATATCACTATCTCTGATTTCATTATACTCAATAGCTACCAGGTATAGCAGGAGTCAGGAGTAGGCACTTTTGTAATTTAATCATTATTCTCTGAATATTAAGTATCACTGTCAAGGTTGGACTTGATAGTTTAAAATAAATTGAGCATTGGGTAGAAAATTCGTCATAAATATATTTTTTTGTTATATACAAATGATATATATACCAATGAATAGAAAATTGTATTTCTGATGTTTCGTAACTTAATGCAAGTCACTTCTTTACAGTAAATAAACAACCGAAATCAAAATTAACCCAAGTTTAAATAGTGCAAAGGAAACAATACAGAAAATATTTAGTACAATCAAAATCATAGTACATTTGAAGTCATCAATGTCAAGTTATTTTTGGTCAAAATGAATTTGTATGATTTGTCACTGTATTAATTTGTGCGTCAGAAGATGGGTATGAAAAATGTATACAATTCTACAGGATTGTTAGGTCTTTAAAAAAGTTCCAAGTTAGATGAACAATAGCAGTACATTCTGTTTTCATTAATCACTAGACTGATGGTTAAAATACCAAAGTAATTCAGAAAGATTGTCCCAACTACAAAGGGAGGAGAGTAGCCGAAGCGTTTCATATCTGCTCTCATTAGGAAATAAAACCTGGTTTTTTTATCTAACAACTGCATTCGATTTTATTAATTTTCAACACAAACAATTTCAACCCCACTAGTTTATACATTTTTCATACCCACATATTATGATTTTTATTGTACTAAAAATTTCTGCATTGATTCCTTTGAACTATTTAAACTTGGGTTAATTTTGATTTCGGTTGTTTATTTACTGTGAAGAAGTGGCCTGAATTAAATTACGAAACATCAGAAATACAATTTTCTATTCATTGGTGTATATATTATTTGTATATAACAAAAAATATATTTCTTATTAACTTTCTACCCAACCGTTCAAGCTTAATTAATACAAAGAGAATGACTAGAGTTTATTCGTACTCTGGGCTAATTCCAGTAATCATTTTGAACGTTATAAATAAAACATCAGAAACTATTGAATATCAAAATCAGTTGACTTGGAACTGTGTTTTCAAACTTTTGGTGTTATTTGGTTGTATATTTAAACCACAACTGTAATGTAATCTTAGCTTATTGGTTTAGCGACATCGTAATAAGTACTAACTTAAGTCACGCAAATTGTAGATAATTTACCCATTGCATCCACCTTATTAAACAGATACTATTTTGGCTGGATTCTTCTAGTTATTGCATTTAGCTGTAAATCTGTCACCAGCTATAGCTGTTAATTATCAGCATGTAGACAGAGTATTTTGAAGACTGAATTCGTGGAAAAGGAAAACACATGAACTACTTCTTCTTGTATTGGCTTATATCCAACTTCTATAAACATGTATGGATTTGATTACTTTTAGAAATAAAAATGCTTTATTTCACAACAAAGTAGTTAGTAGTAAATATCAGAAAATTCACTAACCTGCATGGTTGTGATGTAGTATTCGGAGGAGCCCACGCTAGAGTAAAATTAGTAAATCCTACTAAATCACTTCTAACTTCATGTTTATACATGAGTTCAGGAAGAAAACTTGACCTGAATGCAATGATGAAGGCCTGCAACAATAGATTGAAAAGTACACATACAAAGTATCATTTTCTGAATGATTAACATTTACTCGAATAAGCGAATTTTATTTAATTCATCCGTGATAAACACACGAAGGTTATAAAAATAAGATGCATTATTTTCCTCTACAGATTTTTGAAATGGAGTCTGTCGATCAATACAGGTGCAGATGCCTAAAAGGCAAGTGGTTAATTGGAATTATGTACTATATTCTGATGAGAAGCATAAAGAAATTGGACTTACGTCTACTACTCGTTACGAGGTTTTATTTACTTTGGTGTGCAAATGGAGTATGAAGTGATAATTGGAGAACAGCATTAAAACAAAAATAAATTCTAATCCACACATACTTAGTGTTTTGTTAGCTGACAACAATCATTAATTCTATTTCAGTCGGTACATATTGTGGTAGATTATCGTATAGATATTAGCTTCACTATAACCTATATTCCCATAATAGCACTTTTATGACACGATTTTGATCTTTAAGATCTAAAACCTCAAGTTTCACGGCTGAGAATAGGGTTGAAAGTGAATGTGTTTTTGTATTCAGCAATACTCTGCCTCAGTGTTCATTATTTAAAATACTGCTGAAAAGTTTGCTCAGTGTTATAATGTTGTCGTCCATCATATGGACCAACAGTCTAATAATCTGAAAACTGGTCCTTTTACTAACCCAACCCAGTTTCTTACGTTAATTTATCTTAACTACGTAAACTCCTTTTAGAAACTAATGACGGGCACCATTTTAAAGCCAGATGCTTGAGTTTATTTGTTTTTGGATTTTCAGCCAAATAGTTTGATTTTAATTTTTGTATTTTTGTTCGACATAACATCCATTTGTAATTCGTACCAAAGATGCTGACTGAAACGACATAGGTTGCATTGAAACTGTTATTTTGAATATATTTTTTGTGAACATTCATTCAACTTAAACATTGTTTTATCGTAAATTAATATCAGCTGATAAAAGGCTGGAAGCAAGGCAGAAAGGCCGTTACATCCGGGATAAGTAATACTCAAAAGTTAACACATACGATCTCAGTAGTGGACAGAAAACAGGACCTTCAGTGAGCATAGCACGATTAAACTCCCAAGTCGGAATTTAATCTCTTACTTGTGATATATTGAGTCGACAATAAGCATACAATTATTAGTTATGTTTCTCCGCAAGTTTCGTTCATTACAACGATAGCTTTCGCCACGAATAGACATAATCCGAACTGAGAATTATAAAATAATGTATTTGTAATTTAAGGGCCACTTAGGAGTTTACTAAAAGATACTTCATTGCTTAGGGAGTTGATTACAGAACACATTGCATAGAAGTTTTTTTAAAACCTTACCGTATAATGTATAGAGTATTAGACTAAGATTTTAGCTTACTAGGCAATTATTTCAATCAAATCATACATATATGGAACTCTTTCAAAATATCACTTTGTGATAAAAATACTTTTATAAGAGAAATTCAGTAAGTAACAAGTATTTTTTTAAAAATCTCACTGTACAGGTTTCACTTTATTATTTCAGCCTAGTTACATACGTCAATGCTACATTATAAATGTTAGATATTATTATCACCTGTTAGTTAAAAACGTGTTGATTTCATACACGAATCAAATGACACGTTAAATAATGATAGAAGAATTAAAAATAGAAAAAATCTGTCTATGAGATATCACATTGTTAGTAGTGATACAAATTTTAAGAAAGAAACACAAAGCATGTACATGACAATAAGAATAGATATAAAACATTTAAAATTTGTTCAATCAATTTGCAGTTACAGTTCAGTCTGAATAATAAAATTGGTTATCATTCGTATATTTAAAAAAACAAATTAATTTTACTTACATTTGAAATTACAGCCAATCGAACAAGAAACTCTAATATTCTAAACCAAACGCCTATATTTTGTGCTCGTTCCGCCAATGGTCTACGTGTTTCACAAACTAATTTTTTGGCATCTAAACGAATTTCAATCCAATTGTTAAGTAATGCAAAGAATGGGGCTAATGGAAAGGCAGCCACAAAGATTGTAATGAACCCGAATTGAAGAACTATAATAAAGTTCAATAGAATTTAGGTTATAGTTTTTGTTATGTATAGTATTATTTTTAGTATTCAAAATATTAAAGAATTCAATTTTATCTAACCAAGTAACCTATTCCTAATCTACTGATTAACTAGGATTTCTACAAAATATCCAATGTAATTTATCTGCATTAATTAATTTAATGATATCCATTTATTTTACTGCTTTACAGAACATAACTCCAACGAAGTACTTAAATGTACTGACTCACTTTCTTTTCGAACCTATGCTATTACTCTACTGGGTAATAAGAATAAGCAGAAATAATTTGTGTGAAACTGTAGATTTGAGTAGTCTATACAATTTTGTGAATTTTACTTATAATTAATTACATTTCATAGGCACATTAGAAGCATTATTTTGGAGGAAATGTATTGTTAGGAAATATTGAATGAGACTTGGACTTTATACCAAGTTGTTGAGATCACTCACTGATTTACGTTAGATAATCACTGAGAAACTGAAAAGACTGGATAGAAAATTCATTCAAAGAAGGTAGTCCCGAGTAGTATGTATCCATGATCCTTACAATTCCAACAACTGAAGAACATATAGAACTCAAAATACTATCAACCGATATCGAAGTCAGAATCCTCAATACAAACGTCAAGACAATTCTGTTGAGCTGAAACATAGAGAACTACTACAACCATCATCAAAAATGTACAAATATTTATAAATATCTGTCTACAAATGACACTTCATATCTGTTGACTAGACGCTATCAACAACAACCTGCTGTGGCGGAGAACAAATCAGACATAGAGGAAATTAAGATAAGACGCTGAAGGTGGATAGGACACACATTGTGGAAGTCATCAAACTGAGTCACGAAGCAAATACTAACTAGTAATCCTGAAGGCTAAAGCAAAAGATGAGGATAAAAGAATACATTGCACCAGGAGTAGGAGCAGACATAAAAAGAATAAATAGCACTTCTTTACAACTGGAAAGGAGAGCCTAGAACAGAGTTAGTTGTAAAATCCTGGCCAGCGGCCTATACTCCGTCCAGTAGAGGAAACAGGGGTTAGTAAGCAAGTAGTAAATATGTATACATGTAATGAGAATAAGTTTATTGGGTGAAAACATCAATGAAAGCTGTTACCTTTTTGAGTAGTTGAACAATAATTATACCATAGCTTATTCCAAGAAATCCTAGTATGACGCATCAAGAAAGAGCTTAAGTACTGTGCAAATTTCGTTAAAACGTTCACTCTCTGTGTACTAGATCATTGCGAACATAACCAAAATGTTGATAACCTGCTACAGTTTTTTACTGCATTCTTTATAAAAGTGAGATGATCACCCTTAAATTAAAATCATTCTCGACTGCAATTTCAACTGAACTGCATTTTTCAAAATACTATTCTGGTGTATTTATTTATAGATTACAGGACTCTTACTTCCCTATCATCATATGTATGACTTCATTTGTGCGCTGAATAGGTTTTAAGCACTGGGGTGTTGGAGTTTATCTGCTTTAAATCCTAATGCGAACATAGTGAATGTATTTAGCTGTTTTAACGCTCGGAGTTTCCTCGTCTTTACAAATGGGACGTTAATTTGCCTTAGACGAATATCTACACTATATTCCTTCCCAGAGTCTATTCTACGGGACTTCAACACAACTCAGATCAAGAACACGTGATTAACCTGACTAGAATGTAAATATATCTCCACACCAAAAGCCGACAACAAGTCGACACAATCTAGCAACAATCAACAATAATAATAAGGATAGCAGAATATGTAACTTATCTAACGCCTGTTAGACTATCTACAATTTTGACTAAGCAAACAACCAATCATTATCATTTTCATCCACACATCATTACCACCGTAAACTGTTTCGGTAGCTTTCACCTAACTTTAAAAATAAAATAACTTTTACTATGATTTTCACCCTAAGTTTCTAAATATATATGAATCACTCTTACGTTCACACTTAAATTCATTAATCGACCGTTAGGAAATAATAGAATTTGGATTTTGTATTTATTTGCTTATATTAATAAAGATTGTTTTTGACACTGAAGAAATATATTTTTTCCCCAGATATGAACTATTTTCCCTAGTTGTCATCGTAGTTGAAACTGTTAAAGCTAGGTCAGTAAGTATGGGATAGTTGAAATTATTTGGCTTATCTGTCCAATTAGAAATGTATGAAACTCACCAGTTGATTTGTCAAAACAATAAGTACATAATTATTATGATGATGAAGTGAAAACAAAAATTTATCAGACAACATCAGAAAGCTGAATAAGACGATAAAAGTGTATTCTGTTAAAGGGAGTAAATATACTAAATATTTGAAACAATAGTTATAATTTTAGTATACTTGAATTATGAATACCATTTTAATTCACAATGTGGGTTTTATTCAAATAGTAGCAATAATTATTTAAGAAATTACAGTAGTGTGTAGAAAGACTTACCCATTTCAAGATATTCATCAAATAGTCCTTCATATGGTATTAATTTATAGTCTTCAATAAATATATGCGCTGAGCTCAGATCACTAGTTGAAGCAACATTCCTCTTATTTAATCCCTTTCGATATTTATGGAACCAAGCACGTAGTTTACTGTGTAATAATTCAAAGATGAATCAGCGAAATTTAATTTGTTTTTTTTTAGTTTTACAAATCATTCTTTCTAAACATTTTTAATAAATTAGATAAAAAGGAACTTAAACAAAAAAGTACCTGGACTGGGGAGTACACGTATTTCCTTGGCTTTGTACCGCTATAGTACAAACGAAGCTTGATCAAAACCCTTAGTTACCAAATACGCACTATGTGTTCTGCGGATATAGTTGAAGATGAGCTTAACACCTTGCATAATACTCCTAGGGAGAACAGTTACCCTAGAACGTTTATAATTAAATATATGATCACGAAGGTGAAAATAGGCGAAATACAAAGGGTGAAGAAAACATCTCTGTTCATGTACCCACAATTCAGAGAGGATGCAGCTAGTGAAATATTAACTCAGAGATTACGCACGACAATACAAAAATCTTTTAACGCCGGAGAACTGCGATTAGTGTTTTCTACGCGCTCAATGGCGACACCTTGGCTAAAAGATGAACTACCTAGAATGATCACCTCATTTTGTATTTATCAGTTTGACTGCTCCTGTGGAGCAAGTTATATTGGTCGAAGTTCTAGAGATTTAAATTTTCGTGCTCGTGAACGCCTCCTAGTGTTTCTAAACAAAGGTTTGATGAAGAAAGTGAACAGGTCGATATTGGACCATTCAGTACGAATTGGTCATAGTCCCAGCATAAACCAATGTTTTTCAATTATTTATGGGGTCGGTAAATTTTTGCCAAAACTTATCCTTCAAACGGCTGAAGGAGTAGCCATCCGGATGAAGAAATTGGAATTATGTGTACAGAATAACTATCTTCAACCACTCCACCTACCCTGGCCAACCTCAAAGCTAATTAATCAGTAGTAATCTTAGCTATTGAATAACCTAATTTACCTTTTGTACTTACGACTTTTCGTAGTCAAATGCAATTGTCTCTGTTATCTTTATTCACAAATCTTTGTATTATTATTATTATTATTATCATCATTATTATTATTATTGGTTAAACATCATTATTAATCTCCCCTATGAAGTGGTTCATTCAGTCCTCATTCATCCCTCCTTAATACGTCTTACTAATTTTTCATACAGTATAGCCTTCCACTAAATATTTGACCGAATTGTAATTGCACTATTATTCGCTCACCCTATCTGATCCATATTTATTCTGATCATAGATTTTAAATTTCCACTTAACATATACACAGATTCAAGTTAACATTCTATATGAGTCATATCAACATGTTTTGTTTAACAATCTTAAATTGACATGCTTTAAACGATGTACTTTGCCCCTAACTTGACCATTTATCGGATTATTAATTTGTATATATAATTGTAGAACCTGGAGAGAATTTATCGAAAAGAATATTCTTCGTTTAAATATTAGTCTGTTAATATGATGGAGATCTTTAAACAATCAGATAAATGATAAATAGTGGTTCATAGTGGTTCCAGATCTAACCATTTATCCTAAATCTTCATTTACTTATTTTTCTTGTAAATTGTTTAGTTTTTTCAGTAGAAGCTTACAGATAATAAAGCCGTTGAAATTTATGAATTTACATTTTAAAATTACGTTGAACTAGGTTTATAAGATTTAGTAGTTAAAAGTTAAGTGATCACAATCATTTCTACATTTGTGTTATAGTGAGAATTTTCATCTCAGTAAATGAGAAACAGTTTGGATATACTTTGAAAATCATATTTTTTTTTCACAAATAACAAACTATTCTCATCATTACTGTAGTCTATAACTTAATCCTTCAAATCTGATTAATTTCTAAGATGATATCATTATAGAAAACTAAACCATAGACAATGCTTTTTACTTATAGACGGAAAAGTTACAGCTATTTCAATATGTTTATTCATGTCTCCTCCTTTCAATAAACTTAACTTTAATTATAAAACTTTAGCAGAGTTCACATCAGTAACTCAACATGATGTGTAGAAAAGTATTGCTAGATCTATCAATGTTAAATTTTGGTCCATTGTTAAGTATCATTTATTACAATTATCAGCCTTATTGTATGATATTGCGAAAGGTTCATTTCATTGATTGACTTAACTATAAATTACATTTTACCTGAAACTAATCTATAAATTTTATGGCTAGTATCCCTTTGGGCTTCACTTTAAAACTATAAATCTGAGTTCATCAACAAAATGATGATTTCATCATTGTATAATAACTTACGTAATTGAAAAAGTAGTCATCTAGACCGAGAATTACTGTCAAAAAATGTTTCAAAATATTGTGTACTCACGGAAGCAAAATTTCTTGACAATTACTAATGATTTGTTTCCCAACCATTATAACAAGTAATTGTTGGGCTAATTCAATCAAACAACCACCGTTATCGCATGCTTCGTTACGTAGGCCGAAAAAGGATGTGTAATGACCAGGATAACCAACCATTCTAGATTTAAAAATATGAATAATTTGATAAACCTTAAAAACACATCAAACTTCATTACTGTGATGTAATACTAGATTTACGATCAAATAACAATTTTTCCTAAAGAAAGCAATACTGGTCTTAGAGGGAATATAATAACCAGTTACAAGGAAAGTTAAAATTGACCGTATAGTTTAGGATTTTAGCCAGACTTTATCACCTACAAGGATAATGAAACAATAACTACAAAAGATGGATAGTAGCCAGCAGTGGAATCCACGACACGAGTTTCGTCCCATTCGGGACTCGTCAGCTGGATGTACCTGCATCTCAGAGTTGATGTTCACTCTGGGACTCAAACCCAGTACCGTTCACTTCAAATGCCATCGCACTATACACTCAGCTACTGAGTTCCCATAGCCACTTGTTTGTGCAATGGAGTGAATTTAAATTCACTTGGTATTGTATTTCTTGAATCTTCCCACTGAGGCTTAAGATTGCAATTGATCAGTCTGTCATTGGTATATGTGTATACTGTGCACAAGCAATTGGCTATGAGGACTCCGTAGCTGAGTGGATAATGCGGTGGCGTTCGAAGCGGATGGTACTGGGTTTGAGTCCCAGAGTGAACATCAACTCTGAGATGCAGGTACATCCAGCTGACGAGTCCCGAATGGGACGAAACTCGTGTCGTGGATTCCGCTGCTAGACACTGTCCATCTTTGCTTATAAAAGTCTGTGAATTAAGGTAATATCGAGGCATACGCACAGTGTGTACATATGACAATAACAGACTCATCAATTGCAGTCTTAAACCTCAACGGGAAGATTCAAGTAAAACAATACCAAGTAAATAAGTATAAAATAAATACAACGTAAATGAAAAGAACAGTTTAAAAATCTCCATAGAATGTTCAAAACTAAAGAATATTTGAATGAACTGTGGTGTGTACTACTGATGTCGACAGATATAAGTAGTGTGTATCAACAATCGAAAGTGCAATGTCTGGCGGCAGAAGGTTAAGAAGATCAAAGAAGAGATAACAAGAACAGAGAGAGTTCGGCATGGAAATGAAGAAACAGTTAGATCTGAGACAATTGATTGAAATTTTGCAAATGAAGTATTTAGTATATGGTTCTCATATTTTACTAAGAGATTCTGTAATTTTGCGATCAAATATATTTGGTTGTTCCCACTTATGTTTTCAGTGACGACATAAACTATTGATTTTAAGAAATCGATCAGCAGCCCATTATTATTGTAATAAATAAGACGTGGCAATGTTACGTTTTAAAAATAGTGAACTTTTGCATCTGTTACGACATAAATAATTCAGAACAATTAATGATAGTGTCACGTTATTGACAATATAATAGTAATACAATAAATCGTGTGAATAAATTGTCCGCTCAAATATTCTTTGTTTTTGAATTGAATAGGGTTTTTAAAGTGAGCTGACGTCTGAATTAGATCTTTTTACTATAAGTTCTAATTCATTGTAGTGTCTTAGCTTTGATAATCAGTCACCTCGATAACTGTTAGAGATGGTGGAGAAGATTTGTAGCTCAGGTGGATGATTTCGGTGGAGTTTTGTTCTCTGAGCTGGATGGTTTGGTCGTGGAGCTTTCATCGTTCTTCTGAACGACATCATCAGCACAAACTTCAGATAGAAGTGAAGTGTTTGAATTTCTCCATATGTGTCTCAAAGCTTGTTCTGTGCACCTCGACGTTGATTTCAAGAATACTGAGACATTTAGTAGATTCAGCCAACCACTCAATCAAATCCCCTACACAATTCCTGGACCAAATTAAGGACATCCAAATCAACAACGACGAACTGATGATATCCTTCGATGTGACAGCACTATTCACCTCAATTGAACCAAAATTAGCAAAAGAAACTATATCCCTGCTACTCAACAACGACACAAACCTCAATAAATACACGAAGCTTCAAATTCAAAGTCTACAGGAACTCATCAATTTATGCCTAACAACATACTTTCAATTCAACAACAAAATCTACGAGCAAACGAAAGGGACACCAATGGGATCACCATTATCAGGATTGATCGCAGAGGCAGTGATGCAAAGACTAGAAGCCGCTATATTACCAGTGATCAAACCAAAAATTTGGATTCGCTATGTAGACGACACCTTCATCATCGTCAAAAAGAATGAACTAGAAAACACTTACAACCTGATCAACAACGTCTTCGATGACATCAAGTTCACCATGGAACAGGAGTCAGACAACCAACTAGCATTCTTGGATATATTGATCACTAGAACCGACACAGGAAAACTAGAAACTCAAGTGTATAGGAAACCGACCCACACGGATCAAATTCTCAACTACAATAGCAACAACCCCAGAGCTCACAAAATCAACTGCGTACACAATTTGTTCAAGAGGGCGAGGACACACTGCAGCACACTGGCAGCACGAAGAAATGAAGAGAAATACCTAAAAGACGTATTCCAGAAGAACGGCTACCCCATCAACTTCATCAAAAAATACCAACGGCACGCAGCATTAGAACTCAAGTCAAGCACAAAAATCAACAAAAGGATCACCCTACCATATATACAAGGAATATCAGAAACTGCGACGAGACTGCTGAAAACCTTCGGAATAGGTGTGGCACACAAACCGACAAAATCACTACAATCAATCTTATGCAAACCAAAAGATGAAATAACAAAGGAAAACAAATCAAACATCATCTACAAGATAAATTGTGCCAACTGCGAAAAACACTATATCGGACAAAGTGGACGCCCCCTTCACCTACGCCTACATGAACATCAATTAGCAGTCAAACGGCATGATATCTCTTCACTTATCTCAATACACGTGGACAACTGCGGACACTCATTCGACTGGAAAAATGTGGAAATCTTAGATAGAGGAAACTCCAAAAACACCAGAGAATTTTTAGAAGCCTGGCACTCAGGTCAATCAGCAATCAACAAGCATATTGAAATCAATCCAATTTATCAACCAATCAGAAAAATCAGGCACAAACATACGAACAAAAATCAAAACAATGGGAGACACAACCAAAACAAAGAAGTAAACAACGACAAATTTAAGGTCAATAAGAACCAATCAACGTCGAGGTGCACAGAACAAGCTTTGAGACACATATGGAGAAATTCAAACACTTCACTTCTATCTGAAGTTTGTGCTGATGATGTCGTTCAGAAGAACGATGAAAGCTCCACGACCAAACCATCCAGCTCAGAGAACAAAACTCCACCGAAACCTCGATAACTGTTATTATATAAATCCCACGGTGTTCGAAATGAGAAGGCAATAAGAAGCGGCGACTACAGTTTATTTGCGGATAGCACAGATAACAAAGCTACAAGCACATCATGGTGAAATCGAATAAGGCACAGCTAGGCAAGGTAAAGGCTAATAATAGGATTCGATTACATATATACATGCGGAGGAGAACGATTCATCTGGCAATATTTAAGCTATCAACATTTAACCTAGAGAGAGATATGTACGTAGACTGTCATCTGATCACCAATACACGTTTATACAGACAAGATAGAGATGATAATAGTACAGAGAAATAGACGAATTGTTACTGTTCAAATAACATAATCTGTTAAGTAAGTTAATAAAAGGGCTTAAGCCAAATTAACCATAATCGGGATTGATTGTAGGAGAGTTGCTGCACATCTGTACATATGTAAATATATTTTAATATCAGTATGCAATTGAAACCTGTACATGTGGAAACATCGATAGTGTACTGTGTGATTGACTATCGCAATTGTCGTCGGTACTCATCCGACGGATGAGATTGATGTTGACGGTGAGTGAGTGTGCATGATATTGGGTCGAGAGAGTTGTTTGTTGGTTTTATTAGTATATTGTGTGTTATAATGTGATTGGTTGTGGAAAAGTGGAGGGGGCACCCGGGTTCGAACCGGGGACCTCTCGATCTGCAGTCGAATGCTCTACCACTGAGCTATACCCCCGATTTTGCGACTGTCACAACTTCACTACCCGAACACAACACCACACCACGTTCAACTATAAACACTACAATCAACGCACAACACCACCATCACCACAATCCCAACAAACATCCACACACAAACACTCACACGCATGCTTCGCCTGCACATGCAAACAATCTACCACAAAAACACGAAACACCAACATCAACATCAACATCAACAACAACAACAACAAAAACATCATTAACAAGAACACGCACATTCACACTGCCAACAAACAAGTCAATGAAGGTGTCGCGATGCAAATCCCTGATGCGCATTCATACGCCCTCTGGACAAACGGAGTGTTCTCATCAAAGCCGACTGAACAGAAGCATCTGGTAGTCGGTGTTAGAGGCATGTGATTCCTCGAAGTCGGTCGAGACCTACAACAGTGTGTGAGGTCGCGAGTCGATCACCAAAAACACAATATCACATGATCGTCTCATCAACACACGATTGGGTGTGATCGCGGGTGAGCGCGTTGATGAGCATTTCAATGTGTGTCTGTTCGTCGATGCCAAGTGGTACGTGAGGAGGTTACAAACGAGTTGGTCGTCTATAGCATATTAGCAACAACAGCGAAAATAGTATAACCAATTTTTAGTCTTGAAATGGACATCGTTATTATTATCATCAATTCCTACCAACAAAGAATGATATAGTTCCTCTGAGGAATAATGAAATTATAATTGTGTCTTAGATTAAACGGTTCCTAAATTTTTAAATATAATCCATAGTGTAATAAATCATTATTCTTGATTAACTCATAGCATTCTATCTTGTTTTTTCGGTCTATTTTTTTAGTTTCAGATACGTTGAATATACAACTTCATCAAAAACATTATTCACTTTAGAGCATGTCTTTGAAAAAAAGTCAATTCCAAAATATACAACAACAACTCACTGTCCTTTGAAAAATGCTACATAGAATATGGATGAATAGAAATTCACAAATTGAAATAGAAAAACTTTAAAAATCAGCTGGTTGTCAAATTCACTTTGAGTTCGATGCATCTCTTTAAAACAAAACAAAAATAAACGAATAAAACTGTATTTTTATTTTACTACTTAAAGTTTAAGGTTTCTAAAATAAGTTCTAAATCTTTACATGATGTTAGATTTTGATGTTTCAATGATAAAATTCACTTTAATCTGATATTCTATTTTGTTTCTTGAAAAGATACCATAAAACCTGTTATTAGTCAACCTTCAAAATGTTTGTTTAGTTTGACCCTTTCCCTCTCTCTCTCTCTCTGTAAATGAGTTTTATATTTATTATTGGTTCGTTTAATTAGTAGAATCCTGCCACTAACATTTGGTTTATTCACTCAAATATCTGGGCGAGCGTTTTAGAAGCATCTATATCCGAATCAGGCTTAGATGACCTCACATAGTAACATAACGTTACTCGTCATCATGTCTCTTTTGATAGTATATTTACATTTTGAAGAAACGTAATTTCATACAATGAAGGATCACAATAGTAAAAAAAGTGTGAGTAAATTACTCTTTACTGTTCACTGATGTATTCATCGGGTTCAACCAGAAATGTACTTTTTGTCTCATATCCAGATGTGTGATCAAATTTATTCCCTTTTTAGATACTTAACAGCCAAATATGAAATTAAATTGAAATCAGTTTATTACAAGTATATCAAGTCAACAAGCCAAAAGTAAAGCAGCCAGGGCAAAAGAATGTGGAAGGCGTTTTAACATAACCATGACTGCATCATACATGAACCACAAATTATTCACTACATACATTTACAATCAATAAGAAAATATAATTTAAAGCAATTAGTCCCTTTTATGAATTTCGATAGAGCAATTAGAAGACGGACCAACTCCGTCTTTTTAGAAGAGAAAAAATTAATCTCTTGAACGCCTCATGATAATGATTAATCTTTTTCAGTAGCTGAATTCATGAAACGATTTAAGTAAAACCACCATTAAAAACGTGAAAGCACGCGAGACCGAAGGTCTTGGGTTCTAATCCCACGTGCGAGATCGTGGATTCTCACTGCAGAAGAGTCCTATACTAGGGCGAAACGGCCATTCAATGCTTCCAGGTTTTCAATGGTGGTCTAGCTTACATCGACTCATGAATTCAACTATTAAATTACTAAAATCTTCACAGACCCCGTTCTAACCATAATATTTTTTGGCCAATATTTTGAATTTTATATAGGCGAAAGATACTTTGAGAATTTACTGAATTGATTGAATTACATGCTGCATTCGTAAACATCTATTAGGATTATTAGGTAAAACCTTTCGATCAGCTTATTTCAACTATAAATCATAGAAAACATTGATTATAGTTTTACCGACCTTAGTACTGGAAAAAACATATGTACATACAAAGTTTATCATGCAGACATGGTTTTTTTCACAGAAGAACATGATCTAAAGTCATCTTGTCTTAATTTTAAGAGTCCTACTTTAAGTAATACTATAATTTATTAATAACAATAAAGATAATACACCAAACAATGTAAACATCACATATGTAAAAATTAAATGTGTATCTCACCCCATTGAGTCATTTTGTAGGCTAATGTTTCATACACTTTCCCCAAACACATAATCAAAATAAGATTTACAATAGCTGCTGAAAGTGTTGCGTATATTTCTGCATTGGAACGAAGTAGTTTATTTTGAAATAATGGAATTTTTATTAAAAACCGATAAATAATTACAGCTACTATAAATACCAATACCAACATAACCTATGAATGACAAATTAAAAGAGAAACATTTAGTCTTTAAAAGAAAAGGTTAGATTTTAACATTTGAAATAATTATTAAGGTAAGAGACTAAGTTAATCCACAATCGTTTGAATTATTAGTTTGGACTACTTTAGCCTTAGTAACTGTCGGAATTGCCAGGGTACTCGCATTTTAGAATAGACTCATATGTGCAACAACCACAGCAACTGAGTGTTTTGTAAAATATACTTTATCGTGTAGATTCCCTGGTTTATGATGCTGGATATTGACTGTTTCTTTGTGCATTTTGGACATATATCCTAGTTGAGCGCCAACAAAGAGTATGGGTGAACTCAAAGTTATCTAGCTGGGAAACTGTGCTTAGTGAAGTGCACCAGGGTACAGTTTTGGGGCCAGTGCTATTCCTCTTGTATGTAAATGACCTTCCTCGTCTCCTATCATCATCGGTCTTGCTATATGCTGACGATGTCAAGATATGGAGAACGATACGATGTAAGGGTAATAGCTTAGAGCTCCAAAATGACCTGAAAAAATTATCTGAATGGTCTCAAACCTGGCAGTTGCCGATAAATACTTCCAAGTGTGTTGTGATGCATATCGGTCATCAAGGTACAGATAAATACACGATGAACAACACTAAGCTACCTTTCATAAAGACATATCATGACTTAGGAGTCATCGTTAGCCAAGACTTAAAGACTACTGCACACTGCTGTGCAATTAACTGATTACAATGAATAATTGTAATGTTTATCAGTTTCAGAAAGCATTGTGATCATCTATATGAAAGCAAACACATGTGTTTTTTGTGTTCTCTCCTCATTGTAAATAAATGTTGTAATTTCTCTGCTTGAAATCATAAACGCTAGGACTAGTTGGTAAATAATTTAGAATTTGCAATAAATGCTGTAATGTTAAAAATAAAAAATACGTGACTACAAAATCGTTTGATTAGCTTAACGTGTTTTTAAATATTGTATTTTTAAACTTTATTTCATATTAAAACTCATTTGTAGATGGTGGTGGTCAGTGGTTTTTTCTGAAAGTGAAACAAATAATTTAAACAATTTAAATATTACTAAGAACATACAAGTACATTTGATTTACCTACTTGTATAAATTTGTTTAATTTTACCGCTGTTACTAGATAGTTTCCAGAGACGTATACATAATTTAAACTTCTATATAGTTGTCATCTGTTATAAAACAGATTAATAAAACCTAGTGATATTGTGGGGTGATGGATATCTGAATTACATAATACTCATTTGTATAGATTTATGTTCATATGAATCCAGAAGGACTCACATTAACATTATCCAAATGGCTCTATGGACTATAAGACTGATGAGTAACAGATATTTCTGAAGAAGAATGTATTTGTAAAATCTCAGCGAAAGAATTTGAAGTCCAACGTTTCACCTGACAATCTGGTCCAAGCTTTTTCAAGGAAATACATTCTTCCTCTTTAATGTCTCACATTAACTCGGCGCCCAAATACTGTGAAACGATTTGATCAAATTTAGACGAAAGTTCTTATCTATGATATCTATGTTTTCCCAAAGATTCTATTCTCTGGACTGGGAAAACAGATTGGTAGAATAAAATGGTTAAAAGTATAATTTAAGTGTTTATCGGGATACGTTATTGCTCATACTTACTAACGCATTCTTTATACACTATTTTAAATAAACTTATCAACCTAACCACACGTACACCCAGTTAGATTTATTTCCAAATGACATATGCAATGAAAATTCTACATTGTTGATTGAAAACGTTCAAGAGGGACTTTGTTTCACTGTTTTAACCGAATGTCCTTGTTATTGTTTTATCTCGTGTTTAGATCGAGGATCGTTTAGAAAGGCTGAGTGGTAGGCTTTCTTTAGATCTTATTTTGTGAAGGTGAAACTCGTCATTTTTAAAAGTGATATAAATTATGATTATCACTGTCTTTGCAAATTTAGTCATCATTTATAGACTACTCATAAACATTTCAGCAGTCTAAAATACAAAACGAAATTTCCGACCAAACCTTGCTCACACGGAAATAGATTAGGTGAGAACGTCATTTAGGTTTCCATAAACTCACATTCAATGTATAAACATTGGGAAAACGGGCTGATGTTAACCACAAAGTTTGCGTCCCCACTGATTGTGTTTCATTCAGTACACCACACTATTCTTCTGTTCCTTTAGTCAGTGAGTGATAAATAATGAGGTGTGATTTCCTTAAATATTTCATTTCACAGCCCCAACTTTCACCATATTTGTGTTTTTTATTCTAAATGTCTGTCTCTCCCATACCAGAATTATCCATAACACACAGTTGTAGATAGCTCAACGAAATATGTCCTCATTCTGATAGTAATCATATGCTCATTGATGACTAGCATCAAGATATATTTCCTGGAGTTCTAATGAGAAGAGGTGACCACTAAAGTCCAATCCGTGTCGGATGTAAAACAGTTATCCACCTCAGACAATGAACCAAGGGTTGCGCAAGATCACGGATCGATTGAAGTTAGACATTAATACTGTTGGATGCCAGCTCAGTGATCTAGAGGTTAAGAGTTCGCACGCGAGACTGAAGATATATGTTGAAGTCACGTGTGTGGGCCCGTGTGTGTGCACTGCTAAGAAGTTCCATACTAGAACAAAACGATCGTCTAGTGCTTTCAGGTTTTCAATGGTGGTCTAGCTTACATCGACTCAATAATTCAACTGCTTAGTTTATGACTTTATTTTTTCAGACAGAGGCACGAACAGTGGTCATAAAAGGTTTAATGAATATAATGTAGTAGAAACCAACTGTATCACCTTTAAGTTAATTCCTGTTTGTGAAAATACCTTTGCCCAATCTCTGTTTACACTGTTTATAGGACTCATGGAAATATTTATAACTCAAGCTCTTTGGGTGACCCATCGTTTTTACAAAATCCCAGATGGCCGAAAGCTATCTTTTCAAGTCTAGTTCATCAATAATCAATGGGATTTTGAGTCAGAGGTTCGAAAACACTAGAAAAGGGAAGTCATTGACGCATTTATCAATATAAGGGAGAAATCTTCATCATTACCTTAGATAATATTTGCGATCTTGAATGTAGATATTTTTTCTAATGAATCAACTGTGCTTAAAGTGGCGGGTTTCAGTCTAATTGCACAAAACTAGGGGAATAGGTCTCGAATTGTTATTGGTTTGTAATCAAGCACTTAGATCAGTGATGGGAGTGGCGATGCAAGCTGAGTTACATAAATGGCTTCAGTAACACACATAATTCTACTGTTTTCCTCAATGGATCATTTTAGATTATAATGACTTAAAATGGGAAACTTCATAGAAAGAATTCACTTAATAAACGAAAATGACAGTGGTTACTGTTCAATGACCAACTAATGTAAATATCATAGACTACGGCATGGAATGACATTGGCTTGAATTCTACAGAGAATATCAGCTCCTTCATGGTTGCAGATAAAGACCGATGACAACTAGTATGAAACGTAGAATTATGATTTCCTGGTGATCACCTTCTGTTGGTTATAGACTTTTACCTAATTAATTGTTCTAGTTTTGTAAAACATTCAATAGTATGTTATGAGTGAGCAAAATTTTGTAGTATGGTAGGAAGAATAAAGCAAAGACTATTGACGAAGGTTTGTTATACCCCAGAAATAGATTAAAAGCATATGTGAATGCACTTCATATAATTTATTTTATTTGGTTAATTGTGATATTTTGGATAAATTCAACTGAGTTGAGCTTAGTACACAATAATCAATAACTTATAATATAAACATTATTTGCAAATATATCAAGGTTGAAACTTTTTGATTCACATGTGGAATCGACTAATTGAAGCGTGTATAGAAGAAAGCCCTCTTCATGCCAATATACTCACTTCTGCAGTTTCACACCCATCCGGTACAAGAGGAATTTGGTCAGATGTCTCACGAGCAGAGCAAAAAAGATCTGTACAGTAGACACTCTAAGTCAGGAGCTTGAATTTCTCAAGAACTCACTGACCGAGATCGGCTACCCCAGCGCGTTCATCAAGAAATACATGCAGGATATAATAAAGAAGTCGGAGATTTCGACTGTTCGTAAGAAACCTTTATACATGAAAGTGCAATTCAACGGGGATGTGGCTAGTGACACTCTGAAATATAGGTTAACCAAAGTAATCACCAAGACATTCTACGCAGCCAATCTTGCGTTGACCTTCTCTTGTCGACCAGCGATGTCTACTCAAACGAAGGATAAGTTACCTGAGTTGGCCTCTTCCATGTGCATTTACAAATTCAGCTGCTCCTGTGGAGATAGCTATATAGGGCGTACTACCAGGCAACTTAACCAACGAATGAGTGAACATCTACCAACTTGGTACATAAAGGGTCAGAGAAAAACTATTCGCAGTTCTATACCAGCACATCTTATTGATAGCGGTCATGCAGTAGAGAAATCGAAATCATTTCGAGTTATCTATCGTATACCTCCATCATTTCCCGACGGAGTCCGTTCGCGTCTCCTATATATAGCTGAAGCCATTGGAATTCGTACATATAACCCCAATCTATGTGTACAGAAGAAATACGTGACCCCTCTATCCCTTCCATGGCCAGTTATAACTTAACTAACAATTTTTATTTATTTTTTTTATTTTTAATTGAGTTATTTGTTTATTCGTTGTTAACACAACCTTTTTACATTTTGAGTACACGTAAAGGAGTTTGTTGGAAATCAACATGTATAGCCGTTCTCCTTCTTCATGATAACATCACATTATTGCCTATTGTCATGTGCATAGAAACAATCTAAAGACAGATTCATACTAACTTACTGTTATATCTTCAAATGTAATAGGTTAGATTTTATAGAATAAAATAGAAATAGTACAACAGAACGTTATGAAGAATTAATTGTAACATATGAAGGGAACAATATCTTACCATCACCATGACACAAATCAATCCAGCAATAATACGAGCAACACGAGCACGAGGAGGAAAATATGGTTCAAGAACATCCGTTATGGGATTTTTTGCATATTGTGTACAGTGAGCAGAGTATTGTGGGCGCGGTCGTTCTTCTTCGATTTCATAATCCAGCACATCCCATCGATGAGCTAATTTAGCATTTTTACGCTTCCAATACTCTAAATATGTAACACCTACGAAAACAAAGTGATTGATATAAAGTTCAATAAATATAAAATATTAAATTAGTATTTTGTTCTTACAATTTTGTCAATATTTCACCCAAATCACATTGTTTTAAATGATGTTATCAAATGCCCATCTTAATACAACATGTGATATAACCTAACAATCTCGCGAAATCTTGACTCGTGCCAAAAAACATATTAGATACACAAAGAAACCTCCTAAGAATCCCGCAGAATTGGATAGACTTCAAATTAAATCAGCAATAGCAGTTCACGCCATTTTCAACGATCACCAAATCGACGTCAATAATATCGAAATATTGCAAAAAAGCTTTTCCAATTATAAGGAAAGGAGAGTAGCTGAAGCGTTCCATATAATGCTTAATCATACTGCTCTCAATAGGAAAGAAGGCCTTACCATACGTCCTACTATCTATCATAGCCACCCAGTCTGATGTTATTCACAATTCACACTATTATTTTGCAAATTAAACTATCCTTTCTCACCACAAAGGTCACACATTTGTCATCCGTAACAGTGGACGCTCACTTATACACCACTTTACATACAGGTCGCTTATGAATCACCTTGACCGAAATGACATGACATTGATTTATTCAGACCTGTTTTTTGATCGGTCACATAATATTCTTGTTGATCCGTTGTACTGTTTAAACTTGGATTAATTTTCATTTGGTTATTTATTCTCTGAAGAGGTGGCCTACACGAGGTCACGAAACGTCAGAAAACCTATTTTTTTCTACTCATTACTTATTATAAATATATTGTTTATTAATAGCAATCAGCCCAATGCTCAATTTATTTGAAATCATCAAGTCAAACCTTGATAATGATACCTACAAACTCATGTTATTATTGGTTTTATTACATATAACCTGGGATCTATTTATGGTAGAATTAGTTTAATAATACAACCTAATTTTCCATAAATACTTTACCAATTAAAATATGAGAATTAGGGAGATTAGTAGATTAGAATTATTTATCTTTGGATTAATCAGTATACCGTAGGTTGTACTTCTGAAAATTTCTATAACAAATAATGGATAAAGAATTGAGAATCTATTAAATCTTAAAAATAATTATATATTAGGCTCTATGGTTGGCCTATGGTAAATGCTATTTACAAACCGCTGAGGATTCTTATAGCACGAGCGAGAACTAATATGACCTCGATTAGACAGGATGTCTGTCACACAACAACACTTCAACATTACTAATATATACACTAATATGAGATAAAGAAGACGTAACTTCTCGAAGATCTTCGTTCCCGTAGATGTCTGGTTGCTTAAGAAAATCGACTTCTGCCAAAAAATTAATGTCAACAAATATTACTCTGAATAAACATTTAGATCGACTACTCAGTTCACACAAAAGTCAACCGTTTTGATGATGAGTGAAATTGCTTTTACTCCTTTAATCTTATCCTGAATGTAACCTGTTAAAATTTTATCAATTTGTAGCTATTCAACTATTCGTGTGTTAGATTTTGTTATATGAGACTATGTACTCAGAGAAACCACTGTATTAGTCATAATGAAATTATTCAATTCATTTCTTTCATCAAGCCTATCAACTCATTAAATACATGTTTACTTAGTTTCTGATCCCTAAGACTACATAAATCTTATAATCCCAGACACGAATTTTTCATTCTGTACAAGAACTTTTTCAAGATAGTGGAGAAGATTTGTAGCTCAGGTGGATAATTTTGATGGAGTTTTGTTATTTGTGCTAGATGGTTTGGTTATGGAGCTTTCATCGACAAAACCATCCAGCTCAGAGAATGAAACTCTATCAAAAAGAATTTTTTTGAAAATCTAGCTATATGTACGAAGGATTCTTGAAATTACTTTACTAGTTACAAACATTAATTCCCATATACAATCAACAATATTACATATGAGGAAAAAAATACCGAGTTACGTACCCCAAATTACCATAAAAATAGCGTAGAATACAGAACCAGGATGGTCGAATAAGTAGGACATTTTCAAGTAGAAACATAACTCTCGTAAATTCCAATATCGACACCCGTGACTGATATCACAAGTTGGACACATAACTGTGTCTCGTTCACAAGCTTCTTTCCTGTCAATAATTAAACAATTAAGGGAATGTAGGCAGGTTTTTTTTATTTGTTGGGTATATTAGTAATTGCTAAATGGTATTATTGGTACACTGCGAATTGCAGTGTTCATTGAACATATGTTTAACCGTGACAAAGGAAGGTGAACTGAAATTCGACAAATATGAATATCTACTTAATTTTTAAGAGCAGATTTCAAAAAGTGATATTAGTTTACAGTTTATTTAAGAGTCAGACACGTTTGAAAAGACTAAAGTAAATAATCGGTCTGTTCTACAACGAAAATCAATTTCATTTTTATCTTTTAATGGATGATGAATGTAATTAAATAGGATATTAATTGTATGTTATCATATAGTATATTAGTTATTGGCTTCAATTTTACATCTTATCCATATAATGACTTTCATTAACCTCATTTCCGAAGGGATCAATTCAAAGCATGGGACGAACGTTCTAAGGTTTTTAATTATCAACCTTATTTAAGAATTATCATCCATTTACATAAACTCTAAACGACATTATTAAATCTTTCATTTGTCCCCTAGGGATGATCGTGAATTAATTAGACTTAATTATAAAAATTTATCGTAATTCTAGTTATTTGATTGACTGTACTCTTAACTGAAATGTCAAGAAATTTAAACTTGCTTCAAATAATCTTACTGTCGTATTTTTCCGGAAAACCATTTCAAAACACTAATCAGTAATAATACTACTAACCATCTTCTGAAGATATAAACTTATTTTCAGAATGGGAGTTGGTAGTAAATTTAATAGTTGAATTCATGAGTCGATGTAAGCTAGACCACCATTGAAAACCTGAAAGCACTAGACGGTTGTTTCGTCCTAGTATGGGACTCACACACGTGACTCGAACATAAATCTTCGGTCTCACGCACGAACTCTTAACCTCTAGATCACTGAGCTGGTATTCAACAGTATTAATGTCTAGCTTCAATAGATCCATGATCTTGCGCAATCCTTTATCCATTGACAAGTAAATTTTGCTAAAGATAGGTTATATCGTTTGACGAATCAAAGTTATACTGATGAAGTTCATCAAAATGCTATTTTTCACAAAATTCCGTAAACAGTTTAGGTTCCGAGAATGCATATTCTTTTTCTATCCCAAACTTTATATCTAACCTGTTCACTTTAATATTCTGACGTCATCAAAGTCTCGAACAGATAGACCTAACCTGCAATACTTCTAAATTGTTTAACATTTATTTAATTTACCGTCAGTTGACAAATAATGAATAGTGTTTTAACACTATAAAAACATAAAAATAAAAGTATTACGAACAATCATTCATCATCTGAAATTTCCTTTGTAGAGAACGTTCTCTAAATAATGTAAGAGAAGACTGCCTATTATTTAGTTGGAAATATTTTAAAATCTTGTTAAACAAATACAGTGATAAGTATAAATGTAATCGTAAGATTTCTGATATACTGACTCATTGTTATTTTAGTCACTCATCATGGTTGTCATAGAGAATAGAAAACTGACCGACAACTGAAGTAGGTGTTTAAGTACTTACTTACGCCTGTTATCCTTCGTGGATTGGCATAGGCTGTCCATCAGCACTCTCCATCCAACCCTGTCCTGGGCAATCCTTTCCAGTTCTTTTCAATTGCTATTCATCTTTTTTTGTCTGCTTCCAATCCTCAACGTAGTGTCTTCTTTATTCTTCCTCTTTTACGTTTCTTTTCAGGATTATGGGCAAGCACTTGCCTCGTAGTGTAGTTTGATGATTTCCTCAATGTGTGTCCTATCCACTTCCGACGTCTTTTCCTAATTTCCTCCACAGCTGAAACCTGATTTGTTCACTCCCACAATAGGCTGTTGCTGATGTTATCCCGTCGACGAATATTGAGTATCTTGAATAGAAAATTGTCGGATAAATACTTGTACCTTCTTGATGATGGTTGTAGTAGTTCTCCAAGTTTCAGCTCCGTGTAGTAGAACTGTCTTGACGTTCGTACTGAATATTCTGACTTTGATCTTGGTTGACAGCCGTATCGAGTTTCATATTATTATTATTGGCAGTGAATAGCTGATGCTGAATTAATTTGAAAGTGTAAATAGCTAACCACTAACAAGTGGTTTATGCTGTTTCTATGATATTAATTTATAATGTAAAAGTATTTCTGTGGATAAACAATGTAATAGATAACATTTATATCTAATCAATACTTACACAGGAACATAATCATTTATAGTTACAAGTCCATATATGAAAACAAAGATTCCGACTAATGCAGCTGGTAATAACCATGCAGTGTATAAACCTATGAATAAATTAATATAATGTAAATAATATTATAAAATAATTTAATGGTAAAGATACTATTTCAATCTTTGCTATTAGTGATAACGTTTCCGTATAGGCACTGAGAACTAATAATTCACCTTATAAAAACATTTTCCATTGTGTCATGGAATAAAATGAATAGAATTTAATGAAGAAAATCTTATTTTCGATGAAATCATTTACTTAAGCTGTACATTTTGTATTTGTAGTTGTATGGTAGAAATATGTTTATAGAAGAACAGAAAAGATTGCATCCTAGAGTGATTTGAGATTTCAAATATTAAATGCGGTTGCGTAATCATTATGGGGTTAGAGAAGAATACGAGGATGAAAATAATTTACTAGTTAGAATTATGAAAGATAATTGTCCATTTGACAGATATGAAGAAAAATGAAAGAAAAACATTAAGGTTATAATAACTATTGAATAATGACCACAGAAAATTGTTAGAGGATAATAATAACTGATTACAGTTTAAAGTCACAAGATAGTAATAAAAACAAACAAGATTAAAACATACTGAAGAAGGAACTAGGGTCAATAAAGAAGGAGAGGTTGGACGTATCGTTTTTTACAGAGTTCGGGCTTGAATCAGTGGATCACCAACGCCTCAGCAGCGCATACCTTATTAATTCGGCCTGACTTTCATTCAGTTCCTTTGATTGTGTAGATTATTTTAAAGGAAGCTTCCTGTAGAGCGACGTGTCCAGAGTTCATTAGGTACTGCTGTATTGAACTAGTGATTGTTTTGGATTCTCCTTTTAAAGGCTACACCAGCTGATGTTCTGATATGCTTTTTGAAAGTGATCGCTTTATACTGCCAATGTAACCTGTCTTACAGCAACAAGCAAGTTGATAGATACACATTGATGTGACCCAAAGCGGGGGTTCATCCTTAACATATACGTGAATGGTAGGCTGACTTGAGAAGGCAATACGAAGCTTGGCTAAATGAAAAGTTTTATCCAGGGCTTTTGAAATCCGTTTATTCAAAATTTCAGCAGCCATATTTCCTTCAAATTCGATATTCATAAAAAGAGTTTTCATTTGAACTGTTTGCGCTTTTTCCGGATGTTTTCTAGGTGTTAATTTCCTAGAGACATATCTAGGTGGATAACCATTTCTGACGAGTATCTATCGAAGCTGAGGTAGTTCGTCATCTATTGTTTCACTAGAAGTCCACATAGTCTTGGTAAAGCGGAACACGATGGTCTAAGATGTTCATAAAGGTCACAATTCGTAATAGACTCATCACTCATCTTTCTTAAGATTTTGGTTAACATCAGTTCTATTTTCTCAGTTGTGTCTTCTTAAATAGTTTCTTAAAGAAATTAAGTGTCTGATAATATCCATTTGGATAATTCCCGTATCTTTATCTGAGTGACAGAGAGCTAAATCCTCATTTCTCAGAAGATCGAATAATTAAGATTTATGTTCTTTGTTGAGTAATCGCCCAATTGTAAGTATTGTTTTCACATTACTGATTGTAAGAGTCTACAAGAGTTGTTTTGAAATGTTCATAATCTTTATTAGATATGAGGGTAAGATTACTTGTCTGATGAATGAGGCTTTCATACTAAATTTTAGCGTTGGGCTGATTAATGTTAGTTGACTTTTATATTTTTCGTTTTTCTATCAAGTGGACAATTATTTTTCATAATTCTGACTAGTAAATTATTTTCATCCTCGTATTCTTCTCTAACCCCATGGTGATTACGCAACCGCATTTAATATTTGAAATCTCAAATCACTTTAGATTGCAATCTTCTTTGTTCTTCTATAGACATATTTTTACCAGACAACTACAAATACAAAATGTACAGCTTAAGTAAATGATTTCGATGAAAATAAAATTTTCTTAGATTTTTTGTTAGATATCAGATATTGTCAACAATTTATTACAATCAGACGATAACTATATGTACAACTAGCTATCTTTCCAACGTGTATTTCAGTTAGCAATTGGGAAATTTCATATTCAATCACAAATTGATATCATTCACAATTAATATCGAACTTTTATAATTCAATGACATAAGAAGTTAAAAAAAAATGTTATATCATTGATACTCTTAATATTGTATATTTTTGTTCTTTTTAGATACACTAAGGTTCATTTTTATACTATAAGTACTGAGCTATCAGTATGATAGTAAAGCTTACTTTACGTCATCTTTTGATATAATGATAAATACTTAACAGAAGTCAGAAATTCACTTGGTATTGTTTGGCTTGTATCTTCCCATTGAGGTTTAAGACTGCAATTGATCAGTCTGTTATTGGCATATGTGCATACAATACCAAGTTAATTTAAATTCACCTCATTCCACAACCAAGTGGCTATCGGAACTCAGTAGTTGAGTGGATAACGCGATGGCATTTGAAGCGAATGGTACTAGGTTCGAGTCCCAGAGTGAACATCAACTCTGGGATGCAGGTACAACCAGCCGACGAGTCGCAAATAGGACGACACGAGCATCCTGGATTCCACTGCTAGCCACTATACATCATTGCTTACAAGAAGTCAGAAATCTTTGCATCTTTACATTGCTTTATATAATTGTTAACGGTAATTTCTGATATCTTCACAATGAAATGATAACCAACATATTTTTGTAAGTAGATTATAGATATTATTTAAACATTTATTCTTTTTTTAAAAGTGCGTTTTGAAGTTTGTGACTTTGTTAGGGGGGAATTTTCAAAATAATAAATACATCGTACTGTTTTCGAATCTGGTACTGATACACATTTTTTTCATAAGCGTGCCAAATCTAGTTGATTGAATAGGAAGACAGAGTGAAGAAAGACTTATTGACTATATCACTCTAGACATAAGAACTTTTTATTATTCAGTCAGTATTTCAATAAATGCTGTGAACTGCAAAGTAACTGTTATTGAAATTCAACTAAAGATTTGATTTTTCATCATTGTCTTATTTTTATGTTAGTGATTATTTTATCTGCTAAAGGAAATAAGTATTTACTCAATGATTCCAAAATCACTATTTTATCTTTCTTCATCCCAGTTTAGAGTTTTTCATTCTACATCTTTGCTTGAATGGGTTTTTCAATTATAATGCATATTAATCATTAACTGTTTGGTGAGAGAAGTTGATATACAATGAATAATAAATGTTTAATTCATGAAAATAAACCTACCAAGCCAAGCGAAATAGAAACCAATTTTTTCTCCAAAGTAATATCTGATATGATCCAGAGGTTGATATCTATACCAACAACCCCATCTTGCCCAATACCAATATAAAATTTGACGTGGATTCATTTTTTCTGGATTTTTTAAATCCTCTTCATCTACTTCATATGGACCCTATAATTAATCAAGAGATATATTACCCTTTGTTAGAACTAATGCTCATATTAAACTTTATTTAAATAAGAAATTATATCTACCACAAATTGAATTTCGTAAAAATTAAGTAATACTGTTTAAAATAGCTAAAATGTGAGCGTCTGATTCATTCAACTAGTCAGTTGTGTGATGAATTTTATCAACTACTTTTTCCTATTCAGTTTTTATCTCCTGTAATACCGGACCAGAAGTGTTTCTTAATATCGAAATTTTCTTCATTATCTGTACAAGATGTTATTCGGTCGATTTTTTAAAAACGAACATACCTTTTATTTTTATCAGATTTAAAGCATCAATATAGATAAATATTTCTGAAACTACATAAGTGTTCAACTTCACTATAGGCAGGAATAAATTAGGATTACTTTTAAGTAATATCAGAAGAGGTTTTGTCACAATTGATTGATCACTGGGTGGCGATCGATTTCATGCGTGTCTAGTCTTTATTAATGCAGATCGAATGCTTCCGACCAGGGAGCACCAGTTCCCTCAAGATTATAGGTACACCTTGCTGACGAGTGCCAAGTAGTTCGAAACCCGGCTCCAGGGTTTCCTGCCGACTACCTCCAACCACAATCTAATCTCGAAGGGGTTTTGTGGATATTATAGCAATTCCAATGGTTGAGATCATGAGTCAACTGAACCTAGATCACCATGGAAAACCTGTAAGTTAAAAAAATGTTTCCCGTAATATTTTGTTTAGTTATGGTACTATGGATAAATTAGGGACCTAAAGAGGGTATAATATGGTAACTTTATTTAACTAAATAAAAATATCATTATCATATACACTTTTATACAACAAATAATTGAACATGTGATAACACAAAAATGTGCATGATAAACACGTGATTGGATGTTACATGAGTTCTTTTGAGAGAATAGCTAGTTACTTTATATATAGTATTATTATTATTATTATGAACCAAGAAGAATTGCTAATGGTAATATGAATAACTGTATGGGTGTTTACATTTGAACCGATTACCTCATGAATCGCGTACGCAGCATTGTAAACCTCTTCTTGTATAAGACGATCGATTCCAACTTGTGCCTTTTCACGGCTCCCATATGCTTGAGTAGCTAAAATATCATATGCTACCTGATGTCTTTGAGTAGGGGTGAAATACGATTCTTGATTATCATGTCCAATGAATCTGAAACAGTATTGTAACACACATATGAGCGACATACCTTATTTTAAATAAATTTTACCGACCTGTTATAAAAGAACTCCGCCCGGATAAAGAAGGAGGTTTAGGCATGGGGTTAGCGACCCCATCCCGTAGAAAACTAACTCGCTAAAAAGCGCTAACCAGAAAAAATTATTCAAACCATTTGAACTCTGCCCTGGGAGTCAGAAGGTCTTCATTTAGCAGGGTTATGACGCCTCATGATGAAAGCCGAATTCCTTCGGAAGTCACGAGGCTGATGCCCCTTCTGACAACCAGAGCAACCATTTATCTAGGTACATGGAATGCTCGTACAATATGGGAGACCGGAAGAGTCTTCCAAATCGCTGCAGAAATGAGAAGATACAACCTAGAGGTGCTTGGGATCAGTGAAACACATTGAACGCAGGTTGGACAATAACGACTAGCTTCAGAAGAGCTTCTGTTATACTCTGGCCATGAAGAAGAAAATGCCCCACATACACAAGGAGTTGCTTCGCTGATGTCCAAACAAGCACAAAATGCACTTATAGGATGGGAATCTCATGGACCATGGACCATCAAATCCTCCTTCAAAACAAAAAGAGGGTATTATAATGAACATCATTTAATGCTATGCGCCTACCAACGACTACAATGAAGACGCTAAAGACCAATTCTACAATAGGCTGCAGTCGATCGTCGAGAAGTGCGCAACAAAGGACCTGACCATTCTGATGGGAGATTTCAACGCCAAGGTTGGAATGGACAACACTGGATATGAAGACATCATGGGACGACGCGGGCCGGGAGAAAGGAACGAAAATGGTGAGAGATTTGCGAACCAATGTGCCTTCAATAAACTGGTCATGGGCGGCACTATATTCCTACATAAACGCATTCACAAAACCACATGGATTTCACCGGATCACTCTACACAAAACCAAATCGACCATATTTGCATCAACAAAACGTTCAGGAGGACTATAGAGAACGTGAGAACCAAGAGAGGAGCTGATATAGCATCAGATCATTACTTACTGGTCGCCAAGATGAAATTGAAACTCAAGAAGCACTGGACAACGGGGCGGACAATATCACAAAAGTTCAATACGGATTTTCTTTAAGATACTGACAAACTCAACAAATTCAGGATAGTCCTCAGCAACAAGTTCCAGGCCTTTCATGATCTACTCAGTGGAGAAGGATCTACTGTGGAGAACAGCTGGAAGGGGATCAAAGAGGCAATCACTTCAACATGTCATGAGGTCCTGGGTCACAAGAAGCACCACCACAAGGAATGGATCACTGTTGATACACTGGATAAGATTCAAGAAAGAAGGAACAAGAAGGCAGCAATCAATACCAGTCGAACAAGAGCAGAAAAAGCCAAGACACAAGCTGAATACACAGAAGTTAACAAACAAGTGAAAAGGAGCATCAGAACCGACAGACGTAAATATGTGGAAGATTTAGCAACGACAGCGGAAAAGGCTGCAAGAGAAGGAAACATGAGACAATTGTATGACATAACAAAGAAACTCTCTGGAAATCGCCGCAAACCAGAACGACCAGTGGAAATCAAGGAAGGCGAGGTAATCACCAACATTGAAGAGCAACGAAACACTTCAAAGAACTCTTGAATCGACCAGCTCCACTGAACCCACCCAACATCGAAGCAGCACCCACGGACCTCCCAATCAATGTTGGCCCACCAACAATTGAAGAAATCAGCATGGCCATTAGACAAATCAAGAGTGGCAAAGCAGCAGGACCAGACAACATCCCAGCAGAGGCACTAAAAGCAGACGTAGCGGCAACTGCAAGGATACCCCACATTCTCTTCAATAAGATTTGGGATGAGGAACAAGTACCAACAGACTGGAAATAAGGACTTCTAATCAAAATACCGAAGAAAGGCGATCTCAGCAAGTGTGATAACTACAGGGGCATCACTCATCTCTCAATACCGGGAAAAGTCTAAACAGGATGAAGGACTGCGTAGACCCCAACTTTGTGACCAACAGGCAGGATTCCGTAAGGATCGATCGTGTACAGACCAAATCGCAACTCTACGGATCATTGTGGAACAATCAATTGAATGGAATTCATCACTCTACATCAACTTCATTGACTACGAAAAGGCATTTGACAGCGTGGACAGAACAACACTATGGAACCTTCTTCGACACTACGGCGTGCCTCAGAAGATAGTCAATATCATACAGAACTCATATGATGGATTACACTGCAAAATCGTGCATGGAGGACAGTTGACAAAGTCGTTCGAAGTGAAGACCGGTGTTAGGCAAGGTTGCTTACTCTCACCCTTTCTCTTTCTCCTGGTGATCGACTGGATCATGAAGACGTCAACGTCTGAAGGAAAGCGCGGGATACAATGGACATCTAAGATGAAGTTGGATGACCTAGACTTCGCAGACGATCTGGCCCTTCTATCCCAAACGCAACAACAGATGCAGGAGAAGACGAACAGTGTGGCAGCAGCCTCAACAGCAGTAGGTCTCAATATACACAAAGGGAAAAGCAAGATTCTCCGATACAACACAGAATGCACCAATCCAATCAGAATTGACGGAGAAGATTTGGAAGATGTAAAAACCTTTACATATCTGGGCAGCATCATTGATGAACAGGGTGGATCTGATACAGATGTGAAGACGCGGATCGGCAAAGCAAGAACAGCATATTTACAACTGAGGAACATCTGGAACTCAAAGCAACTGTCAACCAACACCAAGGTCAGAATTTTCAATACAAATGTCAAGACAGTTCTACTGTATGGGGCAGAAACCTGGAGAACTACGAAAGCCATCACCCAGAAAATACAGGTGTTTATTAACAAATGTCTACGCAAAATAATTCGAATCCGTTGGCCGGACACTATTAGCGGCAATCGTCTGTGGGAGAGAACAAACCAGATCCCAGCGGAGGAAGAAATCAGGAAGAGGCGCTGGAAGTGGATAAGACACACATTGAAGAAAGCACCGAACTGCGTCACAAGACAAGCCCTCATATGGAATCCTGAAGGCCAAAGGAAAAGAGGAAGACCAAAGAACACATTACGTCGAAAAATGGAGACAGACATGAGAAAAATGAACAAAAATTGGATAGAACTAGAAAGGTAGGCCCAGGACAAAGTGGGTTGGAGAATGTTGGTCCGCGGCCTATGCTCCATTGTTAGTGGCAGGCGTAAGTAAGTAAGTGAGTTATAAAAGAGTTATTTGCTGTAATGAGCCATTACAATCATGTGATTTTTAAGACCACTTTCATTTATCGTATACTAAACCTGTTAACTAGACCCTAGTTCTGAGGATCGAATAGTATCACTCTATTTTACAAGAAAAGTGTAAATCAAGTCTGACTACGTGAATCTGTACTGTAGTGAATGAGTTTAATAAGAAGAAGCGATACCAAAACTAGTGAAAACTTGAGAGAATTTATAAAACAAATTGATGTCAATTATAATGTTTTACGACCTTATCACATAATTTTTCCAAGACTTGTTGATTGTAATCAGTTTGATTAATAAACACATAGTCACTATAGTGTCTAGAAAAATAATCGAACTTAGTATTTATTTTCAAAGTCTTTTGATAATTTCTTATCATCAACCAAAACGGCGGTTGTGCGCAATTTATGGATAAGCTAAAAGATATAACATTTAAAACTTTAGAGAAATCATTTAATTAAAATATTGAAGTTGTAAATGAAGGACATCATATCAAAATAGAGGAAGCTTTCTCTGTTTTATATCAAGTTCTAAAGAATCTACCTCAAGGAGCTAGATTACTGTTGCTCTAAATAGCCGAAGCCATCTGGATCAACTCCAAAAAACCGAACTTATGTATCCAGAAAAGGTATATCCAGCCTCTATGCTGGCCTATGACTTGATCACCGGATACCTAAACTGAATATTATAAACCTCTTACCACCTTTCTATTTTTTTAAAATTATATTTCTCTTAATCTTCACATCCATCATTCCCGATTCACATGAATTCTTTTTTATCGTAATTATCTTGATAACATCCTCCTTATTACATACCATATTCACACAACAATATTATTATTACTTCAGTTAACAAGATGAAATTCTCCTACTATGCATTTTATTCACATGATTTTTTATTTTTGTTATATTACTATTATACTTCACTTGGGGTTGTTTTGCTTGAACATTCCCATTGAAGTTTCAGACTGCAATTGATTAGTCTGTTATTGGCATATGTTCACACTGTGCGGATGCCTCGATATTGCTTTAATTCACAAGCTTTATAAGCAAAGATGGATAGTGGCTAGCAGTGGAATCCAGGACATGAGTTTCGTCCCATTTGGGACTCGTCAGCTGGATGTAACTGCATCTCAGTGTTGATGTTCACTCTGGGACTCGAACCCAGTACCATTCGCTTCAAATGCCATCACGTTACCCACTCAGCTACTGAGTTCTGATAGCCACTTGCTTGTGCGATGGGTTGCATTTAAATTAGCTTGGCATTGTTTCGCTTGAATCTTATCACTGAGGTTTAAGACTGCAAATGATCAGTCTGTTATTATACTGTTTGTGACTGGACACTTTACTAACCTTTATTAAATGACTCTTCTAATTTGCAAATAACACAATCGTGAAATATATATGCCGTAACTGGAGCAAATCTTCACCATTTTATTCATATAACATTGTCAAATTCATTAATACATGCCTTATTTAAGCTTCAGTAAAATATCACAACAATTATGGACTTATAACTCTCAAACCTGATGATGTAGTAATTGAAAACTATTGTTCGCTCAATTATTCTTCATTTTGGAATATTCTATAAGGATTTTTAAACTACTGAAATAAAATTTCGAAACTTTTACGACTAATTTCTATATGAAATCAATAGGAACAATAGGAACAATAACGGGGCGGATTTGCATGCATATAGCATACAATTCTCTTTGAACCTAGCACACAACAATAGCGTCATGCACTGTCCCATCGCCCTTGGCAGATCAGGCAACCCGAAAGTTGCGAGAACACCATCAGGGTATACGACAGGCTAGGTTTCGTTTTTTATACGATACTTTTCAACTGTCTTGAATGACAATGCTCAATATGTAATAATGAAATCTGAAAATATTTGTTTAATATTCGAAGTATTTTTGTTTTCGATCTTCAATTGATTTAAAAGTAGCAAAAATCAACTAACTCGTTAGAATTTTTTAGAAAAGAAAAGAAGTTTTAGTACGTAAACAGTACAGTCTACATGATTGATTATATGCCATGAGTTAAAAAAAGTTATTTAGTTTGATTAAATCGACACTTTTTCTACTCATGAGAGGCCGTGACCAGTGGAGCTAATCTGTGTCGGGTAGAAACAGGTATCTACCTCAGTACAATGGAAGATGGTCGCGCAATTTCGTGTATTGGTTGAGGTTAGACATTAACAACACTGGATAGCGGCTCAGTGGTCTAGTTGGTTAAGCGCTTGGCGCGAGACTGATAGGTCCTGGGTTTGAGTCTCGCGAAGTGCAGGATCGTGAATGCGCACTGCTGGAGTCCCATAATAGGACGAAACGGCCGTTCAGTACTTCCAGGTTTTCAATGGTGGTCTAACATCAATCGGTTCATGATGCCAATCAAAAATTTAACAATCTTCACAACCCCTTAACTGATAAACTTATTGCTTAATCAGTATATTTACTAAAACAAATTCTGAAGTTATACATTTTAATGGTTATTTGTGATACTGTACATACTTCAAATATATCATTGATCTTAGTGTATTCTTAACCAAAATCAACTATGATAACAACATATATGGTTGTAGAATTTTTGTGAACAGACTAAATCGTTAAAATAAAAATTAAACTCGAATAAATGGCTCATTTGTTTTTTTACATTCGACTATCATACTGGTTTTTATAATTCATAAAGTGAACTGTAGACCATGATGTAGTTTTAAAGTTTCACTATAAGGTTTTGAAATATCATATTTACAAGTCTTTAAACTATAAAATGAAATCTCACTACAACATTTCAAATAGTTGATTGTCTACAGAGTAGATAAATTTTAAGAAGTCAAAATACACATAATCCTGAAATGTCACTTGAACAAGGTGGGAAATTTAAATAATGTAATGAACATTTAGGATAACCGAGTACTTTCTTGTTTGGTTTGTTTTTGTTGATAATGTTTGGCATGTGGTTTTGGGCTTTCACATTAATCAAGTTGTATTGTCTATACTTTTAATTTTAATGTAACGAATATATTTTTTTGAACCATTAAAATGATCAAGCTCTCACAATTGAATTTCAAACTGAAATATTGAGAGATACAATGAACACTACTGACCAATATCTTCTACTATACAGTCAAGGAATTTTCTCTTGTCCCTTTGTAGTTCTACTACTATGACTTATATTTTTGTGAATATATATATAGCAGTATAAATCAATGAGACATACCAGATAGCGTGTGTCAGAGCACAGCAAAAAGAACTCGTTATCATATACGTTTCGTATGAATGTATGTTTTGTTTAGCATTAAAGTGAGACCATAAATTCATTTTCAAATTCAATAAAGAAAAAAAACATATCAGTTACTTTTTCCAGTTTATTTGGTTTAGTTTTTGTCATTTAAATAGTGGTTCGAATACATTATAAGATGAAAACTAACTAATGGAATGTTAAGTCACAATCCTAAATACTTAAACCAATTACTAGGGTATTTTTCTTGAATATGGAATTAACAGCATATAATTATGTTCAATATTTAGCTTTGCTACTTTATCAATCAGGAATCTCAGTAAAATAATCACAGATATCCAAAACACAACGTTAATGTCACAAAAGTTTCTACAATATTTTAAGACATATAATTTTGAAGTTTTCATTTAGTTAACTGACAAGTTAGTTTTAGCAACCATTTAAATAATTTCCAAAATGCCTTGTACATTTAGGTCGATGTAATGAAACTACTATTTTTTTCCCTGCATTATTTACTACTATATTAGAAATATATATCAACCACAGTTTCATTGTCATTATTTTACAAACTTTGTTTTTTATCAGAAGGGGTTTTGTGAAGATTTTAGAAACTTCACTGATTCAAATTGTGAGTCAATTGAAGCTAGACCACCATGGAAAACCTGGAAGCACTGGATGGCCGTTTCGTCCTAGTATGGGACTCCTCAGCAGTGCGCATCCACGATCCGGCACCCCGCGAGATTTGAACCCAGGACCCATCAGTCTCGCGCCAGGTGCTTAACCAACTGGATTACCGACCTGGCATCTAACGGTGTTAATATCTAACTTCAACCAATCCACGAAGTTGCGCCACCGTAAACCATTGTCATCAGTTTGTTTTTGTTAATTTCTAACTGTTAAACATATTGTAGATAATTAATTTTCAACAAATCAATAAAAATAAATACACAAGGTAAATAATTATTACAAAAATAAAATTACTCACTTTTCTAGTTTACTTTTCTTAAACGGACAAGTATAATATTCAGGTGGAGGATTTGGAACATTTTGCGCCATTATAGATGGAATCCCAATTGTCTTCAAAAGAATCTCAGACCAGTTTTTCATTTTAGTGTTTTGCACCTTGGGATATTTTGATAGTTCAAATATAAGTTTAAAAGGATATTAACAAAAAAACTTTGCTTAATTGGCTAGAGAAAAAATACATCCTCTACTAAGTATTTTTTATCAAATTAGTACATTATCTCGTTGTTAACCGTGAAAATCATGCTTATGATGGAGCTTTGTTCTCTGAGCTGGATAGTTTGGTCATGGAGCTTTCATTGTTCTTCTGGACGACATCAGCACAAACTTCTACCTGAAGTTTGTCGTTCAGGAGATTGATGAAAGCTCCATAACCAAACCATTCATCTCAGAGAACGCAATTCCATCAAAATCATTCACTTGAGCTACAAATCTTCTCCAGCATCTCAAAATCTTGCTTATTTGGTCAAGTTGTGTATTTGAAATAACTCAGTGATAGGCATCATATTTAGTTGAGAGAATTTCGTTAAAACTACAAAAAAGGTTATTCAGTTTCATTGGATTGATGTTAAACTAAAAACTATCACTAATTTTAACTTGCTAAGAAATTTTAACCCGAGTTTCTCAAAATCATTAAAATCACAGTTAATGATTGGTGTTACTAAGTGCTGAATTGAGTTTCAGCATTTATAGAGCTGGAAAGATGAACATTTTTTCTAAAAGACATTAAGCATTGCACATTCAGAAATGTCACTAATCCTTAATGCTGATATTGAAGTGAACAGTATATGTTACGACATTATTTTCCATAAATATTAAAGCAGTCTTCTTAGCCTTTCATTTATTTTCATTTCCTAATAATTCAATTTGCTTTCCGCCAGTTATCTTTTACTTATATGCATCAAAAATATCCTGTAATATCTGATAAAAATAACTGTTATCAATGATTATTCTGTTTTAGAACTTGAGTGTTTATAATTGATCTTATGTACTTATTTGCTCTGAAATAAATAGAAAAATTTCCACCGTCAATGAGTAGATGCGGGGTAACAAATGTGATTTTCAGTAACACCTGATTTACAAACACTTTTGTTTCTAAATAAACATGAAAACCCATAAAGTATGGGAAAATTTCTAACGATGTCTTTTATTTTTGTATTTATTTCCAACGAGTATAGGTGTTAACTGGAGAATAGTTAAAAACTAAAATGTAGTGAATTTCTGTTTTATCCTAGACTGAGTAATCTCTTGATTTTAAAACTCAGATTTCGCATACGATTTAGGCAAATATCTTTGAGTCACTCATCAACTACGTTTGATTACTGAGTCATAATCGCAACAAAGCTGATCTATCATTCAATATTAATGATGGTACCAATTTACACTTGTAACTCTAGAAAATTCGGCCTCATATAAGCACTTCGTTTGAAATCGCACTACTGGTTAGCACTAGATAGACTGTTAATACTTCGTAATTATTTCGATGAAATAAAGAATAATTTTAATGAAATATTTATACATGCGTAGAGTGATCCAATTAACACTATCTCGGGATAAAATGTGGATCCTGATATAAATCAGAACATAAATTCTTAAAGCCTGAGTGTACACGGAGTGGGAACGGAGCTATTTTAATTTGGCCAGTAAATTTTAAGTTCAATGTGGTTCAAACGAAATGTATAATGAAACAACAAAATAAAACATCCTAATAAGTAATAGTTTTAAGACACTACACTGGAAAACACGCCTAATATTTAACAATGAGATACGAACATTCCACATACTTCAAGAGGAGCTCGTAGGTTTAGACATTCAGCATGATGGCACATTAAGTCCCAAGGAATATGCAGCTTCAAATAATGAGTCATCAAGCTTTCGCTCTTGACATCCTCCTAAAAAGTAAAAGTGGGAACTAAATTTTTTCTAACGGAACGGATCAGGAAATAAATTACATATTTTTATTGGAATGAATGGTTGTGGCTGGTTTTTATTGCGAGCTACTCACTCAACTTGAAACTTAAACATTTTATAAATTCTTTCATATTTCGGAACACTAGCTGGATTGACGTTACTTATTACGCTAATAAGTGAACGAATTTTCATTATTGATAAATAATCCACTTATATTGGAGGATGGGTCATTTTTTAATAGCCTTTCAAAACAACTAGTAAAGTGTACTTATAAAAAAACGTGGTGAATTAATTTGCAAATATCTCAGCTCCGGCAGCTTCCAAGCTAAAGGTTTCTAGACAACGTTTTCGATTTATTGTTACCCTCACTGTTACTGCTTGATTGTCATATAATATTTGTTGTTTTCTAAAGCTCAAATCAGTTTCCAAAGAGAATCGATTAAGGTTGATGAGATTTTATTTCCGTTATTTACAGGACCATTGAATAGATTTTCTAATCTATATTTTTTGAAACTCTATTCACAGTAGCACCAAAATACCTCTTCATGACAGGTTCATTTTAAGTCAAGTAATATTTACGCCACAATCCTATAAGGATACTCGTTAATCAGTTTCAGTCCGTGGATAGTCTGAACTAACATAATCATCCTTGAATTGTATGAAACTGCATTATTGTGTAAATAATCTGAATTTTGCCGACAATACTTGGTATTACACTGTTAAGTCATAAGGGATATTGATTGCATCAACAAAATTTAGAATGATTTCCATGAAATGATATTATCTCTTGCATTCATAATTGGAAGCAATGTTTACTTCACCTCATTATTGCAACAAAAAAACACTTGATTAATTCGAGTACGAGGAAATTTATCATACACAACAAGATGACATTTTTAAGATAATTAGAGAGCGAAGACTATATGCTAGTTATGACAGTAAAAATGATGAATATTACATTCCCAAGAAGAATACAATCAAAGTAGATGGTTTTACTACCGATAGTACAATTTCCAATTCATGTATCGTAAAGCTACACATTACAAAGAAATCTTCAGCAAAATGTGTTACTAATTATATCTGTTAATGTTTTGTACATACTTTTCATGACCCTTCCTAAGAAGTTATGATAAATAAACTCGCCACAACTATCTCCTTAAACCGATCGCTTCCAAGCTTTTTTTTATTTCATTGTCAGAAAAAAGATTTCAAAGGAAATATTTTGATGATATCTTTAAATAAAATGCAATTTATCAAATTTAGTGTTCCATGATGAATTCAGTAGTAAATATATGACTTCTACACATACATCCATCCATTTTGTTGAACTTTCTCTTTGTTTACATTGTGCAAGTAATGCTTTAGATAGAGCCATCAAATTTGAGAGCCTTTATAAATCTTTAACTCAGAGAGTACATTTTACAAACTTAATCCTCAATTGCTTTCATCGGCGCACTATGTATCAGATTTGTTAAAGCCAAAAATGCCCTAATACTATAGTTTATAGCTTCAGCTTATAATGTGTTCAGGTTGAAGGACCCTAACATATATCAGTTGGAGTTTTTATTAAAGTTGGAAAATGAATAGAATGTTAATATTTTCTTTCTCTACCTGACAACTTTAATTAATTAAAATCTAAAATTTTATTTTAAAATAGTATGGAAAGGGATGATAATATGAAGTAATTTCTGAATGTTACGACATCTATATATAATGACTATAAGACAATGGAAACATTATGGTTACAAAGTTCAAATAAAAACAAATCCATATCCCAAACTCATATTAATGATTAGAATAAACAAAAGTGACTTCGAATGTAATTTTTCTTACTATGACTAATGTGTTTAATTATATCATGTTTATATTAACGGAATATCTTGGATTCATTTTTGTACTTTAGATTGAAAGTGTTTTCAGATTATCCGAACTGATCTCATAGTTCAGAAATATTATTGAGATTTTAACAAATTTTGTGTGAAGACTGAATATAAGCTTAACAAATGACCCATAAAATATTAGATTTATTTCCAAAATGCCAAACTAAGCGTCATTTGAAATATCTTGAGAGCTCAGAGAGGATTGAAAGTGGTAACACTAGTTCTAAAACCTCTAGCTATTCAGTCATACAGTAATCTGATATGCATGGCAAATATATGACATAGTAGTCAGGTTTTAATTTTACTGGCAGCTAAGTGGTTTACCTTTTAAATATCTAATCATCATGTTTACTTGTGTGTTGTTTTACCACGATAAAGTTTGTTGTCTGTAAAGGTATACGATACAGGATGGTGGCTAGCAGTGGAATCCAAGACGTGCGTTTTGTCCGATGTATCAGCATTCCAGAGTTGATGTTCAGTCCGGGACTCGAACTAGGTGTCCTTCACTCCGAACGCCGCAGCGTTATCTAATTAAACAGTATGAATTTTATCCGCTATTGTTGGCACAATCAGCAGCATAACCGTTTGGTTATCCAGGTAGTAATGACCATCTGAATAACTGACTTAAATGACATGACCGTTCTCCAAGTGTCAACCAATACCGAGTTGTTGAAATCCAAAATGTATCATAGCCTTTCCAAAAACCATTTTGGAAATCATTCAAACGATAACTTTAAATTCATTTTGTATTGTTTGTATTATTCACCCAATTGCACAGGCTAGTAACTATCATGACTCAGTAGCAAAGGGGGTGATGTAATGGCGTTTGAAGCGAATGATACTGGGTTTGAGTCCCAGAGTAAACATCAACCCTGAGATGCAGGTACATCCAGTTGGGGAGTTCGAAATTCGGACGAAATGCGCATCTTGGATTCCGCTGCTAGCCACTATCCATCTTTGATTATAATGCTTAATAAGCTTAAATATTTTTAAAGTTCATTAGTCAAATCCATGGTTTTGTTTTCTGATATTTATACAGACGACATGTGAGGAATCGTTTTCTGAATGAGATATCCATCTGACAGCCTCAGGCTCCCCTGTATTCTACCAGTCATTTTCACTATTATAAATTTCACTTAATTACTTATTACTCTGATACTTTGCTTTCATTTTCGATCTATCAAAGATTAAGAGACCTCACAATAGTTTGTTTTGTAAAAGCCAAAACTAATCGGATTAATTAATTGTTGTTGATTTTTGCACTTGATTAGTATACCATGTGGTATGTTTAGTCCGTACTCTTATTGGAGATCGGAAACGGATTTTGTTTTGTCAATCCTGATTATGTTACGTATTTAAATCAAGTCCGTCAGGTTAAATATTTAAAAATTCCTTGTTATTACGCTTTCTATATCAAAAATCTTAATTTCACGTGTTTTACTTTATTTTATTCAACCAAATCATCCAGTTAAATTCGACTTGTTCAAAAAAAATCCTTAGACCTTTTCAACCGAACAATTAAATGATAACGTAATGGAAAAGAAAACTTTTACTATACATAAAATGCTTCTTATTTCTAAGCACCAAAATCTATTTTGTCAAGCCATTTACCAATAGCGTATTTTAAAGTATACTAACATTTAATAGCTAGATTCATGAGTCATTTAAAGCTGGACCACCATGGAAAATTGGAAGCATTGGACGGCCGTTTCGTCCATGCACGCGACTCCTCAGTATGCGCATCCACGATCCCGCCCCCTGCAAGATTCGAACCCAGGACTTATCAGTCTGGCGCGCGAGCGCTTAACTATTAGACGTTTGAGCCGGCATCCAACGGTGTTAATGTCTAACTCCAACCCATTCACGAAATTGTGCCACCGCACACCATCGTCTTCAATGGGTAACTATCTCACAACAGATCTGGTTGAACTGCACTGGTCACAACTTCTCAATGAGCAGACGGGATCGTGGTTGCGCACTGCTGAGGAGTCTCATGCTAGGACGAAACGGTTATCCAGTACCTTCAGGTTTTCCATGGTAGTCTAGCTTTAATTGACTCATTAATTCGACTATTAAATTATTGAAATCTCTACAAATCCCCCTCCTAATACTAACATTTATTTATTGTCGTCGCTTGTTGTACCAATCGATATCCAACCTAAATGAGTGTTGTTATACAAAAGTTAGCGGAGAAATTGCAAAATACGAATGAAAACTGTAGAGAGGCAACAAATATGTGAAAAAATCTGAAAAATGTCACTTTATATATATATATACAGATTTTGATTATTTTAGTAAATACAATTTCAATGAACACTTTTCAACTGTTGTTTGCAATTGAAGTAGTCTGATTAACCAATAAACTTATAATCTCAGATATAACATCGAAATAACATAGAAAAAAAACTGCATTATTTGTACGATAATAACAGATTGGCAGACGGATTGTAATAATATGCAAATGAAAATATCTTCTAACGTAGTTACATTTCTTATGCCGAGCTTTTGTGTATAAATTAATGAAATAAAAACTCGTAACGGTGGTTTCAAAACAGAAATACTGCAGAAATATAATAAGGCAAAGTTTCAAAGAACTCATTTTTTTAATGGAACATTTATTTTATGTTCTTTTCAGTCATATGCAGCTCCACAATACACTTGTAAGATTTATTTTGATAAATAACTAAACAATGATACATATATACAGCACATTTGATAAGAAACATTTGAAGCTGACTACCTATGCACTACCTCTAGTACTTATTAGCGTTTTTCCTCAGAAATCACATGACAATTCATATATTTATTGAAATGTCGAGATTCTAATCAACTGCCGAATGTTGTCGTTCGAACGCATTTTTTAATATTTGTGATTTCTGTTATGTAACTCTAGAATTTATAGTGCTATATTGAGTGGTTTTTGAAAATCTTATCAACATATTGGATCAAAAAGCGCTATCATCATAAATCGAACTAGCTATTTCAATAGCTTTGAAATCGCTGTTCAAACATGTTTTTTTTAATTGTTCAAATTAAATATTTAGTTTTAGATGGATAATTCGCCCTATTTCGTAAACAAAGTGTTATGAGATTCAAAGGGTCAAATTGATTTGTGCACACTTATATCAAATGAATAGCTACTTAGATCTTGCTTCGGGATTCATTACTGTATTGGTTAATTTCTATCTAGCAACTTCACTGATGATACTTTTCAGTCTGATTTATCCTCACTGCCAGAGAAAATAATATTGTTTGAGATAATCAGGACTACTAATTATAATTTTCATCATTTACTTGGAACCTGCGGATATATTGCTGGAAACTAACTTGAGTGATGCCTGTTACACGACCTAAATCAGTGTATAAATTTTAGACTCAGCTTGGTATCAGTTAGTTCTACCGCACAGTTGAGTGAATAGATTACCATTTTACAACTGGTGATTATGATATTCAATGTACTGAATTAAAATTCGTAGGATTAAACTGTAATATTAATTTTAGCTGGGATGTTTTCTTCATTTTATCGAACGAACTCAATAATAAGTAAGTAACCTGACCGAAATCTGTGCAATTTTCTAAAGGTTTAATTGTAAAGAGGAGTTCAACAACTGATGAGAAATGGTGTATGACTCTTAAAAAAATATGAATTATTTATGGTGAGTAATCGGTAATCTTTGTTTAATCTATATAACCGTCAGAAAAGTTACATTTAAATGAGAATTAAACATGACGGTTACTTATTGATTGAAGCATTAATGAAATTAAAATTTATTTCCTGACCTTATACATAAACATCACGTTTCATTGTTTGAGCAATGATTTATTGAAGAGAAAATTCCTTGTATCAAGGTATTATTATTAATTAGGTCGCAAGTTCCATATTATTTCCCTTAATCATTAAATTTGAGGGCAGATATTTTACTTCTCTTTATATCTAGAGTAGAGAAATTTGGCTGAATACTTTTTTTAGCATTAAATAAGATTAGAAAAAAACAAAATCTCAGTTGACTATGAAGAAATCAATTATTAGTTTGGAATTTTATTCACTATCAACCAAACGTACTTTCTCAATTTGTACTCCGATTGTTTGCAAATTATCTTCAAATGTTTTTCGATAAATACTATTGATTTTTTTCACTTTATTGATCATAGTTTCATTAACTGGTTCATCCCAAACCAAAACATAATCTTGGAAGGAAAAATATAACACGTAATGAAATACATAATCATTTAGTAAATGTAATTTTGAAGTCAATTCTTTTGTATATAAAAATTTGTTTTGCATAATTGATGAAAAACACATAAGTATAGCGCATCCACGATCCCGCCCCCCCCACGAGATTCGGACACAGGATCTGTCAGTCTCGCGCGGGAGCGCTTAACCACTAGACCGCTGAACCGGCATCCAACGGTGTTAGTGTCTAACTTTAATTAATCCACGAAATTGAACGACACATCTACCATTGTCATCAGTGAGCTGATATCTCACAACAGACCTGATTGAACTCCATTGTTCACTGCTTCTCACTAGAACTCCAGGAAATGCCTCTTGAAGTCAGTCATCAGTGAGTAGATGATTATTATCAGAAGGAGTTTTGTGGAAATTAAGTGATATTAATTTTGTCCAATTATAATCTATAGTTGATTAGTTGAAAGACAATTACTCTATTTCACTTAATTCACCTAAGAACTTGAATGAAAGTTATATTTTAAAACTTAAATCAAAATCTTGTGTAGTCACCGAAATTCAAGTATTTGTATCTTAGAATCTAATATTAATAATAACTTACATATTTTAACTGTAGTTAATTATGCAGATAAAGCAAAATACTTATCGAAAACTTTCAATAACTTATTGTCCTATTTCTAACATCATTGACTCAAGTGGTTATGATTTCTTATTACGGTTTTAATAAACCTTACCAACATGTTTTCAACATTTGAATAAACGAACATGTTTCACTTCAGTGAATTCATTGAATGTCAGTTAGAATAAAACAAAACTAGTGTAACTGTTTAATGAAAAAGGTTACAAAGATATAAAAAAACAACTGGGAATAATTGTTTGAAATGGCTTGAAATGATACAAATGATGTTTTCCGTTTCTATGAATAATCATATGGCTTATAAATAACATAGCATTTGTGCTCATTGATTCAGAAGTCATGGAGTTTCTATGCTATATGAAACAAAAATCTTCGGTACTGTTAATTTACTTACCATTTTAGAATCCAGATCTGTTCCCTGTGATAAGTCGGTGCTGTGAATTATGACGATATTCAGTAATTTGTTCTAGAACTATGGCCGTAATATATGTATTTTGCAGCAAATTCCATTTCATAAGTTTTGTTAGATTTTGTGTAATCTTTATATTACAGAATCTGAGGATCGTATAATGTAACCATTTATTTAGAAATTTACTTATTTAACTATTGGGAACAACGATATCTGACATTAATCTCAATTAATACTAGTTTTATGAGGGTTTCAGATGTATCTATTAACATTGGATTATTTTTCATAAGTCAGACTGAAGTCTATGACAGTTTTATATGAAACAATGAAAACAATATGCAAGAGAAACCTAGAATTGTATTCATTCAAATTGTTATTTGCAATTTAAATATACAATCCATTAACTGACCAATTTTTCTTTTTCCATCATTAAAGTAATATCCAAAATCTGAGTGTATTTGACTCTGTAGAGAACAGAAAAATAATAATGCATTAGATATCAGTAGTGAAAAACTCATATTTGGAGACGCGAATAGAATTTATCGTAAAAAAATGATGTGAACTTATCGAAAAAAGAAGATAAATGCCTGGATATGTTTCACTAAAATCATAGGTCTTTTAGTCCACAAGAGTTTTTCAAAGTATAGATAATCTTAACTGAATATTAGAGTAATTCATTTTTGTATTAGTTGTTTGAATCTTCTCATTAATGTTTAGAACTGTAGTTGATCAGTCCTTTATTAGAGCTCTTGTGTTTATTGATGTCTATCATTAAACTTGTTTTTTCTCTTAACTATTACTAACATTGTCAATAGTCGATGTTTCAAAATCGCAATGCACAAAATATGTTATTTCTACTAAACGACAGACATAACAAAGCCGATTGATCCGAATGCATTTTAAATCTTTTACTGTTTCAGCAAGTGTGTATTAGCCATCCAGATTCGATTAAACTGGAGATGAATTATTGGCAAATCTTACGGTGATAATTTATTTGGCGAGACTTTAATTTATGGACAAACTGATCTGATATAGGATAACAGGTCTCGAATTTTTGTGCGGAATTCATTCATCCATTTGGCTAAATAGCGTTTTGGCGTTTAAGCTGATGTCAGTTTGTGATGAAAGTATTAAATCTAATGCCTAACTCCAACCTTAACCATAATCATTATCTTGATTCCTCACGCTGGTTTATAACCCTCATTTAACACTAGCAAGTAGTTGGACACATTAAACGTCACTTTAGCGTTGCTCAAAGGTCGTCCATGAATTATTGTCACACCATTTATTTAACTACGAAGTTATTGAATTTTCAAACAATCTGGTCATTCATCTTAGTGTTTCAGCTACAAATTGATTTACGTCTGATGGATTTCAATATTGATTTTGGTAAGTTATTATTAGATAAACTCTAAGGTCATTTTATATAACTAGAGTAGTTGCATATGGGGATACGTTTCATATCGCCGATAGTCCTGTTCAGCAAAGAAAAAATAGTGAGAAATTATTGCAACCATTATTCTAGTTTTCATTATGTTGCACACAATAAGTGAATTAATTAATCCACTCTAAAAGATTCATTCTTGATTGAACTTCTGAAATAAACGATGTTTGTCAGAGTCAATAGGACTCTGAACATCAATTATTACTTTCAAGTATATGTATGGAAATATGGAATAATAAATAGCGACAGAGTAGTTATATTTAATTTCGGTTGAAGGTTTTCTGTAATCATTTATACTGTTAAGTATTACAAAAGTATTACATAGCATGATCCCTCATAAAAACACAAAATAACGTTTTTGGAGCTTATTCTACAAAGTCAAATGTATGGGTTACTTTAAATGGTGCCTTCAACTAGGGAAAATGTTATAGTCAGTTCTCTACATCTAGTATTTATTTCATCATGTTATCTATTTTATGGTGATGAATAGCGAAATACAATCGGATGTGTAGTATCATACTCTATTTGTTATCTGTACTCTATAAGTAATGAACTAATGAACTATAATTAATTAAAGGTGAAAATTCCGAATATTTCTTTATTTTCTTAGTTGATCTTGTTTAAAGGACTAAATAACAATCAATAAATTTAATTAACAGAACAGGGAGATTTAAAGTAAAATGACCTCACTGGTAACTGTTCAGTTCATACAATCAATCATTAACAAATTCATTTTGTCAAATGTGGTTTGAATGTGTGTATTTACAAGTAATGGTTTCATTGTCTTAGAAAAGCAATACGTATATAAATGATTCTTTTGTTCAATATACAAAATATTTAAGTAGTGTTTACTCATTACTCAAAAAAAAGAAAGTGAGATTATATTTTAAAGCAAATTAAATGAGGATTTTACATAAAGGAGTCACTAATGAGTGGGTAGACATTTTAAAAATAGGTAAGATATTACTGATATAAGTTAAAGTAGGGTAAAGTTTAATACTCGATTTCACAAAATAAAGTTATGAAACTCTACAGTAAGAAAATCAAAATGTGAAAAGCTAAAAAAATATAAGTTATACCAATAGAAGTGATAAAGAAAACTAACTAGGTTTAATGCCAGCTTCGTGTTTTTGTGTGAAGTGTCATTGATGAGTTACGTAAAACTAAGCGAAACACCATTTTGGGCTTAGTTTGCCTGAATACAGTAATGAAGTAATTAGTGACTATACATCTCGATATTTTCAAAATGTTTTTTTCCTTTACATTATCATTTATGTCACGAATAAGTATTGATGGTAAATTTAGCTTTTATTAAATAGATTCAATGCTAGTACTCAAAGACTGACAACTGAAATAGTTAAACAAAATGATATCACATTTTGTTAAATTAATGTTCAGACCCCATGAAACAGAAATCGGATTGTAAAACATGTATCCTGTTCATTGTGTTTGATTTCATTGTAGAAAATGTCTTGACAAAAATAAACTATTTCATATCATATTCAATTTTATTATTCAGTGATTAAATGCTAGGTGTATTGTAAATCTATAGAAATATGAAGAATGGATATTATCTGATGTTGATTATTAGTTTTACTTTGCTATCATTTTGCATAAAATCATTTCTAACCATTATCATTTGTGCAGCTATCTTAATTTAAAGTTATAAAATCACTGAACATATTTATAAATTTGAATAGTTTATTTATTAAACACCATCAGTATATTACTACTTAAACTAGTGGTTTAAATGATCTGGTTTTATTAAATAAAGTTAAACATTATTACCGTTTGATGCCGGTTCAGTGGTCTAGAAGTTAAGAGTTTGCACACGAGACCGAAAGTTCTGAGTTCAAATCCCGCGAGTGGGATCTTGGATGCGCACTATTGAGGAATTCTATACTAGGACGAAATGGCTGTCCAATGCTTTCAGATTTTCCATAGTGATCTAGCTTTAATTGACTCATGAATTCAACTATTAAATCAACCATAATTAAATGAACTTGTGTTTACAAATATCCTTTCAACTTATTTGTTTTATGCAGTTCTTCGTGTTTAACATATTTGAATAAAGCAAGAAAAACAAACTTACCAGAATAATTATCATTCAATAATATTACATAAAATTGTATTAGGTTAAAGAGAATTTATAGAACAAGTGTATTCATATTAGTCTGCTACATATATTCTTGTTGTTTTTTTCTTTACAAATTTCTTTCTTTCAATTTATTCATGCTAATAGAATGTTACCATTTATAAAAATTCATCTACAATGAAAGTTTAGAAATAATCACCTTGTATTTGAAAATAATCCAGTTCCATTGAATCCTCATCAAAGCAGCACATACAAACCTTCCTATAGATGTCACTTCACTAACAACCCAAGAAATCAAGATGACCATTAGACAAATCAAGAGCGAGAAAGTAGCAGGACGTGACAATATACAAGTTGAAGCACTCAAGTCAGACATTGATGCAACTACAAATATGCTTCACCTTCTATTCAAGAAGATTTGGGAGGAGAAATAAGTGCCGACGGACTGGAAAGAAGGATAGCTCATCAAGATTCCAAAGAAAGGAGACCTGAGAAAATGTGAAAACTACACAGGCATCACATTACTATGAGTACCGGGAAAAGTTTTCAACAGAATGTTGCTGAACCAGATGAACGACTCAGTAAACGCCAAACTTCGAGATCAACAGGGTGGTTCCGTAAGGATAGGTAATGCACAGACCAAACCGCGGCACTACGTATCATCGTTGAACTCGTCACTATACATCAACGTCATAGACTATGAGAAGGCGTTTGGCACTGTGGACAGGAGAAAAGTATGGAAACTTCTTCGACACCGTGGAGTTTCTGAGAAGATTGTCAACATTAACCAAAACTCATACGACGGACTACAGTGAAAAGTGGTTCATGGAGGACAGCTGACAGATGCATTCCAAGTAAGGACCGGAGTGAGATAAGGCCGTCTACTCTTCCCCTTCCTCTTTCTTCTGGTGATCGACTAGATTGTGAAGACCTCGACATCTGGGGGAAAACACGGAATACAATGGACAGCTCAAAACCAGTTAAACGATTTGGACTTAGCAGATGACCTAGCCCTCCTATCATATGCACACGAACAAATGCAGAAGAAAACAGCTAGTGTAGCAGCAGCCTCTATATCAGCAGGCCTTAACATACACAAGGGGAAAACCAAGATCCTGAAATACAACACGGAGAACACCAACCCAATCACTCTTGATGGAGAAGCTCTTGAAGAGGTGGAATCTTTCACGTACCTAGGAAGAATCATTGGTGGATAAGGGGGATCCGATGCAGACGTAAATGCGATAACTGACAAAGTTAGGGCCGCATCCCTACAGTTGCAGAACATATGTAACTCGATACGGCTGTCAACCAAGATCAAAGTCAGAATCTTCAGTACGAACGTCAAGACAGTTCTACTACACGGAGCTGAAACTTGGAGAACTACTACAACCATCATCAAGAAGGTACAAGTATTTATACGACAATTTTCTATTCAAGATACTCAATATTCGTCGACGGGATAACATCAGCAACAGCCTATTGTGGGAGTGAACAAATCAGGTTTCAGCTGTGGAGGAAATTAGGAAAAGACGTCGGAAGTGGATAGGATACACATTGAGGAAATCATCAACCTGCATCACAAGGCAAGCCCTAACTAAGTATTCTGAGTACAAGCGGAAAAGCGGAAGGCCAAACAACACATTACGTCGGAAAATAAAAACAGACAAGAAATATATAAATAACAATTGGAAAGAACTGGAAAGCATTGCCAAGGGCAGGGTTGGATGGAGAGTACTGGTGGGCGGCCTATGTTTCTCCACGAGGGGCAAAAGTCTTAAGTAAGTAATTTGGAAATAACTCTTTCTAAAAAGTTAATCTATAATAAGTAGCCTGGATTTTTTAGTCATTATTTTTTTTACCCATATATCTATTTCTAGACCGTCTCACTACTCATATAATTATTAATATTTATCTAAAATCGA